ATGTACACGTCGTGGGTGGACTCGCTCAAGGCCATCTCAAATGACCACTGCACTGACCCCTCATGTCGGTTCTTCTAGGTCAGTTAAGCATGACCTTGGGTAGATTTTATCGCATACACACAAAATGTACATGAATTGCACAATTTCCGATTTTTGCATATTATTTACACCGACAGTACCTGGAAGAATCGTAGGGTCGGGAACGAATATCAGCACTGCGAGAGAGTTGATGCGTACGATACGACTCACCCAATAAAGGCGGCTAAACAACGTAACAAAAAAGTAATAAGTAAGTAAATTTTCCCCTCCCCCACCTCCCGACCTCCCTCTCCCCCCTTTCCTTACTTTGGAGGCGGGAAATCGCTTTCTGCTTCTTTTTTTTATCTGAGAAGGATGTCTTGAAGACAATGGAAATGCGAAATGGACACCAACAAAGGAAAAATTAGAAAACCACTAAACATTCATTAATCCAATAATAAAGGAGTGAAAAGGAAAATTTGTTCACATTTTTTTTACTACTATCCATTGTTTGCTGCCAATAGGGCCGAAGAAGGAGACAGATCACTGACGAATCTCCTCGCCATATTTCTATCCCCCCTCGGTGAGGCTACCCTGGATTAAAAATTTCAGAGAGACAAAAAAAATGGCGGCTGGTTGTTGTGGTAGCCGATTAAATTTGAAATAAAAGTTTTTTCTTACTTATCACTAATTATTAAAGCACAAAGTGGCAGCACATGCCACATCTATAGGAAGTTTTGATCCTAGATGATGAGATGACTTCTGGATCTAGGGCACAAATTCCTCCAGTTCATGTTCAAGTCCCGCCTGTCTTTTCTCCATGCCATGATAAAGCCAGAAGAGGCTAAATGTCATCTCTTGGAGCCTGGAGGAGCAGCATCAGTGGAGTGTGGAGGATGAGGATGAAGATTTAACAACATCTTCCTTCCCTTCTCCTCCATTCTTCATTCTGAAGTGCGGTATGAGGTCTTCCCACCAAAAATCGCGGAATCTTTTCCATCAAATATTTATCAATTATTTTATGGGGTCAAATAATTACAGAGCAGTGTTGCGCGTAGAACTTACCTTCTGGTCGAAGCTATGCCGACCCAGGGTACTGCAAGTAGGTCCTTGATTGTTCACTCCACTTCTGTAATTCTCGATCAGGGACGATTCCATACTTCTCGACTCTGGTTGAAGGAAACGCCCATTGGGGTTGTCGGTTCCTGACCGTTGGGAGGTGACAGTTCGCAGTCGGACTATCTTCTGTAGATCCGTCTCTGGAGCTCTGGCACGCGAGGCAATTGGGATCTCAATCAAATCCGAATCAGGTTGTGGTGTACCCTCTAGGGACTCTCGAAGCCTGAAAAAGGTCAAGCGTGTATCGTCATCATCATCAGCAGCAGCAATTCCACCACTTCAAATTCACTTTATCTGTTGGTCTTTGCTATGACAGGCAATCAGTCAGTATTTGAACGGACTATTAGCTAGTTTTGTCGCTTAGATCCGATCGCACCAGCGATTAATTTCTTTCTGCGTAAGTTAGGCAGTCCCCATCGCCAACTTTTTTAACTTCTGGCTGTTGTCAAGCAGACTACAAAAAAGAAAGCTACTCATCAAAAAGGCCTTTCAATCCCTTCGAGGCTGAAAAGTTTGCCTCCTCCCGTTGTTCAGCTGCTCCGAGCTTCAGCAGTAGAAACCCGACTTCCCACTCATCCTCCTTACCGCCGAACTTAGGTAGGGAAACCTCCTCACACCTGCTAAACCAGGAGGCGCGAGCATATTGGTGACAACTGAATCAACGGCTTGACACTTTTACCTTGACCATGGTGCGGGCACTAATTCCCTTGTATGACGACATCCGTGAGTTCCTTGAAAGGCACTGCGTTCGATTAAGTTAGAAAAGGGACCCACAACCTCTCATCCCAATTCTTCCGGCCTACTTTCTGATACGATATCTCATTCTCTTCCTTTTCCAAAACCATCAGTTAATTTCGTGTGAATGTAACCTAGTTAGAAGGGCCCAAGAGTAGACACTGGTGTAGACAATGTCTCTAAGGGCAGATTTTTGAGATTTACAGCTATTGAGGAGGTCATTAAAGTGGTATCGCCATCTTTACAGCCAAAGGCCTCTTAATTCTTCTAACAAAAAGAAGGCAAGATGGTGAAAAAAACAAAGGTAAGGCCGACAATTTAGTCCCATGAAGGAGGTGAAATTAAAGGAGGAAAGGGAAAGGAGAGTTGCAATTAGGAACGACTTGCCTACCTCGAAACAAGTTGTGACCATCGCATTTGAATGGCCTCCTGATCAGCGCGGAACTTTTGAGTGTCCTCTTTCGAGTACTTTGCCAGAATCGCTTCACATTTATTCTGATGCGTTGTGAATTTTGTCTCCCCAGCAGGTAGACTGTCTATTATTTCCTACATAAATGAGGGGAAACAAAGCCATAAGGTGAGGGTAGGCAATATCTCCATCGCCTTGTCTTATCTCCCCTTGTTGCTTCACAGCGATCCCTTCAGCCTCAAAATAGACAAATCTGGTATAACAGCGTTCCGACTAACACCCTGTGCCCTAGCCCATCCAATATGGGAGTTTTGGGGCGTCCTCGAGAGGCTTGCTAACAGTAATAACTAAAACCACCCGTATCTCGGAACGTGAGGGGTTTTATTGCCCTGCTTATGCGAAGCTCTGTGTGAAATATGTCCCATAAAAGTAGGAAGTACACATAAGGAATAAACGAATGAAAGAACGAACCTGAATGATGCGCTTTCTCTCCACGACATCTTGAGTGTTGGAAAGGGCGTTGGCCAAATCAGTTTCAGCTCGTGCTAGCCATCTGTCGAGTTCGCGTTCCAACGTCTTTAACTCTTCAGTTGCTGTCATCATCTTCTCCAATTCCTCAAGTCGAGCTTTCACTTGAGCACTTGTTGCATTCCAGCATTGTCTAACCTCCTCAACTAAAGCGATGCAACAAAAAAAAACGGTTTTTTGTGCCAAAGGACTTGTCATCCAAAATGGCATAAGGTGACAGGATGTTCTACTTCTACAGAAAGTTTCGCCTGTAGAGGCTGAGATCACATCGGCCGTTCTTCTCCCTCTCCCATGATTAAGTCAGAAGAGGGGGATTGTCATCTCCTTGAAGCCGGAGAAACATCATTGGTGGAATATGCAGGATGAGGTTGACGACAAGACAGCTTCTCCTCGTCCTCCATCCTAAAGTGAGGTTTTGAAGCTGAGTGTTTTAGGAAGTCTGATTGGCCAGTTACCACTGATGCCAGCATTTTTTGACCTTCAGTAGTTGAAGAATGACATTTCCCTTCGGTACACGAAGCGCTGTCCTACTACTCTGCCTCCCTTCCGAATGCTTCACATTAGATTTGACCCCTCAATATACTTGCCGCTTTGGAACCGAGGTTAACAGACAAGCTTTCATGATCTGAGAGAAGGAGAAGGCAGTGGAGAGCGCAGCGGAGGGTATCATACCGAAACAGGTTTCCCTACAAGTCACAACACCCCATCGTGTGGTAAACCCAGCAGAAGACCACATGAAGTGCTTTACACATGGTTTAGTAGGTTCCTCAAGTTATGTGTCTCCAGGTGTCTCGGTCCCTTCAAAAGTGATTCATTGCCTCATTTCAATCCATTTCTACTGAAGTACTGGTAACAGGAAGGCTCCTTAAGAAAAGGCTGAAATGTTTAGGTCATTGACCTCCCGGAAGACCTGTACACCCATCGGCTGAGTCTTGTAGCAAAGTACATTAAAAGGTGAAAAGAAATGCATGAATGCGGTGGGCGAGGGCCTGATCCTCAAACACTGACTTCATCGCAGTCCTGTGGGGAGTGCGGATTCTTATGACTTGAAAGAGGAGATTCAAGGCTTCCTAGATGATCCGTTTTTAGCAAAAAATCAATCAAATGGAAAGGGTGAGTTGAGTCAGACGACCTCCTTGCAGAGGCAAGTGTGACAGCTAATTTTAGGCTCAAATTCAGCGGCAAATTTATACCAACTGGCCTTGACAAGTGTGTAACTAAGTTCGCTTCATTTAATTATTAAATCACCAGTTTATTTGGCTCCCACACAGTTGGAGCATCACCTTTAAAATGCGAAGTTTGCTACGCAGTTGAAAAGTCGAAAGAGGTGTTGCAGCAGAGACTGCGTCGGTTTAAACCACGTCAGTCTTTTAATTTAGCGTATATTTGGAGTATAGTCAAGAGGGTTTACTTAACATTTAACTGAGGAACTAGTTTTCCAAATCGTCAACTATTAACAACTTGGCATAACATTGGCCGTTAGGAGGATCTTGTAATGGGCTTATCAAGACCAAAAAACGAGGTAGTAAGGGTTAAATAGGCTTTGTTTAAGGGAGGTCAAAACTGGGCCAGAATGACAGACCTACTGCATCAGCCGGATCGGAGGAATCCTCCTCAATTGAAGGAGTCGATTTGACTTCATTCATCTGTTCGCCTACATTGAATTGACCCCTCGAGGTGGGGTCAGTCTTTGAACCTGGGGAAGATGAATTGACACCTCCTCTGGTAGAATTCGCTGTAGGCTTTCCACTACCCTCCTCTTCAGGCAGTGTGCTCAGTGACGGCAAACTAGGCGACTCTCGCTTCTTTGAATCCCCAAGTAACAATTGTTTGCCAGTGTCTGCCGTCTCGGTGCATTTATTCAATTCCTCCTTCTTCAGTGAATCACACAATTTTGAATGTGAAGGAGGGAGGGCCTCTGCATTGTCTCCAAAAATTTCAGCCAAAGATAACCGTTTTGTGGTGCCATCTTTTTCACTCTTTTCTTGACGTGTAGGTGGCTTTTTAACAATGTCAACTTGAGAGCTGCGTCGAGAACGCATTGAAATAAGATCCACAGCGGAGACCTTATTGCCATCCACTGAACAATTTGGCTTAACTAATACTTCTTCTCCACCTCCGCTTTGGTTTCCTCCTCCGCCTCCTTTGCCTGATGAAGTCTCGCTCACCAGCTCATTCACCGTTCGCTTGATGCTACTAACAACTCGATTTAATGACGACGTGAAATAGGACGACATGTAGGTGCTTTAGAGAGTGACACTGTTTACTGTTGCAGTTGTTCATCTGCAGATTGTTTACTTCCGCCGCCGAGAAAGGGAGACTAGGGGAAATATTTGCTCTCACTGCATCAACCAATGAACGACAGGATTAGTGCTATCCAATCGCCTTTCAAAATTGTAAAAATTAAAGCGTTTGTTTTAAAAATGCTACGATAATTTTAACTCGGCTCGGTGGATGTGTAGCAAACACTGTGAGGGGAAGGTGTCTCCGTCTGCCGCTTAGATGTCTCAAAAATCATGTCAAGAGCGATAAAAAGGAGAGCAAGAGAGAGGAAAAACCGCGAGTATAAGAATTAAGTCTCCGATCAGGTAGGGAAATTAGGTAGCTAGGAGGAGGCGTTTCCCATTTTACATTTTTCCGTTCGTCCCTCCTTCCACTAACCCCCCCAATCTTCCCCCTACATATTTCCCCATGCACCGCAAAAGGAAACCTGTAATTCCTTTCTATTAAAAAATTCATTTTTTTTTCAGTCCTAAAGGAATGTGGTATTCATTTACGTAATCTGCTGTAAAGGGGAAAAGCGTGAGAGATTTGGAGCAAAGTTGGATGCAAAAAATGAAAGGCGGAGTTTTTTTGGGAGCGAACACCCATCCTTCCGGAAACGTGAAATGCTGCATCCAACAACTTAGCTGATGCGGAAGAGGAAGGGACAAGAGGTGTGGCGAAACTATTCACCGTAGAGAATGAGAGTAACGAAGCTTAGGGAAAAGTGGAAAAAGTAAAGTTTTGGGACAATGAAGGAGCTTCAAAGTGCGTTAATCCCTCTCTACGGTACTGCTACTTCCTTTTTCCTAGCTTTGGACTCGGTGGTCATTCCAGCTTAATCAGTTTAACGTACCTACGGGAGGTAATTCGAGGTTGTCTGCAAAAATAGCTCGGTCGTGAAATATTTAGGAGATCAGGAGATGGATGTATAATATTGAAGCAGACTATATTAGACAAAAGACCTATGCATCGGTCCTGCTCAAATCCACTTAAAAATTAACCAGTGACGAAAGGATTTTAGTAGTATTTAGCCCGTATAATGAAACAAAACACTAAGACGAGAAGGGAAAAAAAAGGATTCAACTTCCAAAGGTAAAGGCGCTATCAAGACAAAGAGTTTCACTTAGAAAGGATTGTTTGCCGACTGCCTTGTGGTGAGAAGAAATTCACTTATCGTCCACCCAACAGTTCCAAGGCAAGCACCACTTGGCTCGCTGGCTGTGTGTGGAAGATAGACTGCCAACAAAGACGCTCACAAGGAATTATTTTCGAGTTCCAGGGCTCAGCAACTGCTACATCGGAGGTCAATTAGTTCATAGATCTCTTCACCCTTAAAAAAACCCACAACCGTACTTTAGGATGAGAGAGGATGGGCGGGCTGGCGAGGGAGTGGGAGAATCTGCGACATTCCACCCCTATCCGCCTTGTTTCACCCAGTAATTGGGTCACTTGTTGGAAAATCGTATCGTCTTACAGGCGAAATAACTGAGTTGGAAAGGAAAAACAGGGCAGGTGTGTCTCAACCTCTTCGGGGGAAGAGCAAATGTCGGAGCGAGAGGGCGATAGAGCACCGTCGCGAGGGTCAAACCGCAGGCTGAACTTTTCGTATTCATGAAATATCAAAATGACAGATTTATCCTTATCAGACACATTTTATCCCCTTATACAAGAGCCTATTCACTTTTCTTTTCCTTTTTTTTTCTTCGCCAGCCTTCATTTTGGACGTTCATTTATCTTCGTTAGGATAGGGCAATCCAACCACAAAGAACTGCATATCAAGCTCAGAGAGGAAGTGGCTCAGAAGGTATGGAAAACTAAAAGAGACATCGGAGAGAAAAGAGAGAGACAACTCACCCATAGCAGAGAGCTGGCTGGTGGAGGTGTTGTCCATGTTGCGTAACTCCTCGTCTAATCGCTCCGTTTCGATGGCCAATTTGTCGAGTTGTGGCTTACGAGCATCCAACTCGATGGCATATTGCTGGAAGGGAAGGGAAGGAGAAATGGGAAAAAATGGGATTGAAGACACGTAGACAAGCACACACACATCTGCGCATGTACTTACACACACACATACATAACACACGTTGGTTTGCAATCATTCGCGGACAGATATACTTGCCATTGGTAAAAAAGACGGCTGCGTGTGTGTGTGTGCGGGTGCTTAGGGAGAGGCAATTGCAGGAACCTGGTGCGTGTAGGTGCACTGGTTTGATGATACATAGTGGGAAAAGGTTGTAGACATTGGCAAAATTTAGTCTACCGAAGCAATACTGGATTGGTAAATAGAACGTAGGCAAAAGTAAAGAAGTCTGCAGAACGGGGCGAAGAGGCGTGAAGAGGAATTGGAGGCTAGAAGTGGTTTTACATCGGAATGATGGAACGAGGGAGGCTAAGAAAGTGATTAAAATGCCACCGGTTTGGACTGTGGGTATTTAGTTGTAGCAAGATTTTATGCACCATTCACTTGGAATTCATTTATCCACCTTTGCACTGCCCTGACATTACGAGCAAGTCCATTCCTTTTCAATCAACTAACTCTCCTAAATCCGTCTCGTTTCTATCTGTCCATTCAGCCATGCATCCATCCATCACCTACCCGCCTATTCTTCCAATCATCCATCCTTATCCCGTATCTATCCATCCAGTTATCCAACAATTCACTTCGTATTCATCTATCCATTCATCACGTTGCCACCTATCCATCCACCCAGCCATCGTGTATTTATCCATCCCTATCCCGTATCCATCCATTCGTCCACACCGCATCAATTTTTGCCATTGTGTATTTGTTTATCCAACTACCCCGTATCCATCCATCCATCTATCCATCCATGCTTTTTGTATCCATCCATCCATCTATCCATCCATCCATCCATCCAGCCAACCATCTATCCATCTGTCCACGCATTCACCCTGTATCCATGCTTCCATCTTAACTGTCATGTCATGTCCGGTAAACGGAGACGGATGTTTGACCACTAAGCGAAGGCTACACGATTCGGTGGAAAAATTTAACCGGTAGATGAGTCACTTAATCCACAAATCTCCCACTAAAAACAATTTTTAAAAGAATTAATTATTTTGGCAAAAAAGTGGCCCAATTTTTGGGTTTGTTTAATTGAAGAGAAGGAATTTCTCCAGGACAACTACTCTCTTTAACAACTTTGTCAGCGACGGATCATTTCACTAATCAGTCGATTATTTTTCTGTGATTTCTTTTTCTCCTCTCCTATATGAAAAGCCTCCTTTCACTGTAAATCGTTTCTCAAAGTCATTATAATGCTGTGAGGGATGAAATCTCACCAAAAGGCTCCACAATGTGCCACCCATCTCACCACTTCACAGCGTAGACTGGCAATCGTCGGAGTGGAGGTATTTTGCCGCTCCCACCCCTCAACAACCCCATCTCTGTTTTTATACTATTTTTTCGTTTTTTTTAGCTATTTGGAGGGACAAAATTGTCAAGTCCACCCACAGGGTCTATTGGTTGGCAAGTGGTAGCCTCAAAGCAGTTGTGCTTGGCCATGCCTTAGGACTTAGTGAAATGCCTGGAGGAAAAATGAGTTTTCATCGCCAATCTCTAAAAAAAACGATTTAAAAAATCACATTTTCCGTATAAATGAATCAAATTTTACCCATTTTAAATGGCAGAATACGAAAGTTTTACCTTTTATGTCAAGGTAACAAGTGGGAGGGCCTACCAGGCCCTTGGGAGGAGGGTTCATCGTAGAGGCGATAAAGTGAAGTCTTCTTGCAAACTACTTTAAATCTCTCTGATTTTACTTACAGAAACCATCATGCACCCAGCAATTTTCCCCGTCCCCTTTTTTCTGGTGATTAGCAAAAAAATGAAGAAAGTTGAGGAGAGATTTGCTGTTGTTGAAGAACATACCTGAAGTTGGATTTGGATGACTGCGGGATAGAGGGACCTCACAGTATAGGATGATCTATCACCAACGCGATTCTACAGGATAATAAAATGTACTTTTTAAAGGAGAAGATTTATTCGACATCCTCCTCCTACTCTTCACCAAGGAAAAAAAAAGGGTAAGCTCTTATTTTACCCAACAAAAAAATTGGTCTTTGGGGATGAGAAAAATTAGGCAGGAAACACTGGCAGAAGTGCTTAAATAAGTTGATTTAACTTGAAATGAGCTAAATAAAACAAAACTTCATTTTTTTTTTTCACGAAACGAAAAAAGGCCTCCTGACAGTCAGTCATGGAGATTAATGTGTGCTCAAAAAGCGCCGAGAAATTGTCCCTACACTTCCGGTGGAGGGAATGAAGTTGGAACAAGAAAAATTTATGCAGAAATGATTGTATATCACATTTCATACTGAGTTCTTTTTTTCAATTTTGTTTTAGAAAAGTACTTCACTTTCGTAGACAAATCTCTGAATGACTTTATAAGCCTAATATACTTTGGCCGCCACCTGACCGAGCGCATTCTCGCTCCTACCGATCGGTGCAACATTCCACCGATTAATCGCATGGCCAAATGTTCAAGAGGTCCACTAGTCCACACAACTATGCAAACGGAATGCGGAGGGCGGAGGGGAGCACTTGAGGTGCCGCCAAGGAGTTCGGAAGAGGGAGAGATCAAAGGGAAAATCTGACACGTATTTCTTGGGGACATAAGTTAGGTATACAGCGTCGGAAGCAAGACCGCCCTTTCTTTATCAACATTAAACCGGTGCGTATGAATTGTGCACAAAGTTGGCAGCATATTTAAACATCTTCTATGACATCCTACAACTTTGAGGATTCGGGATTTCTCGACTTTCGTGACTTTGATATGCCGCTCCTGCTCATGCCACCTTAGTTACGATCAACCTCACCTGCTACTTAAGGTCAACAGAGGTCACGCTTTTACACCGAATTGTCAATTCGACTTACCTTGATATGAGCTATTACGGCGTCTTGGTTGAAGTCTCCACCAAGGCATGCCACAGTGGAGTTGAGGTAGCTTGTAACCGTGTCTAACCAAAAGGCAAGTTTTCGTACCGAGGTTTCCAGATTTGTATCCAGCGATGACATTGAAGCCTGGTGTACATGAGAAGCTTGCGGTGTCTAGTAAAAAAAAAGGGGGAAGGGGAAGGAAGGAAAGTGTGGATTGAGCGACTCTTTTTTTACAAGGGATATATGTACGTAAGGCCCTCTCCTTCCACTGACTCGTGGAGTCAATGTCCACTTGTCCCTAAGGCAACATGGTATCTCGTCATGAAGAACACTTTGTGAGGGAAGAATGCTTAGGAAATGCTAGCAGTCCACATGCTAAGTTTGATACATAATGGGGGAAAAAGTGGGATAAAAACTCACAATCTGCCCAGCTCGATCTATTCGAAGGAGGCGACAAACCGACTTCCACTCGGAGAGGCTCTTTTTGATACCCTGCACGACACCAGCATCCAATTGTGGAGTTACGCAGTTACGGTGTGTAGATTGGAGTGAAAGGCGTGCATCTGACTGATAATTTTCAAACGCCTCTTCAACCGCCTGTAAAGTCTGTCCTGTGCCATTTCCGGTTGGACTGAACTCACTCCGTAATTGCTCCTTAATTGCCGAGGACAGAGAGAGAGAGAGAGTTATACGCAGAAGACTGTTTACCAGTAAAGTGTAATTTCTGATAAAGATAAAAATGCATATTTCATTGTTTCCTCGATGAGTTACTCATTAAAAGCCTCAAATTAAAAATGGTAGGAGAGCACCGCTGGGCCACCGCTAAAAAAGCATGAGACAGTACTCATCAAAGAACCATCAAACTTTATGACTTTGGGTAAAAAGGCACAAAATTTGTCCCCGAATCCGCGAGATCTTACAACACCATCTACGGTAAATAACCAAACCAAGGCGGGGGCGATTTCAGTAATCTCCTTTCTCCCAGGCCGTGTGGATAGGTGGCATTGGCACACATTCCCTTCTCCACAACACAATAAATAAGGAATGCTAGGTAGCGGCTGTTTATTCTACCGTCACATTAAGAGTGTTTTCAATGAGTCAGAAGTGCAGTAAATTGTGCTTTTGTTTACATTACTTGACTACAAACTGCCCACCAACGTGACTGCCAGGTCTACCGCTACGTAATGTCTTCCGATTAAGGTTGCTCGTGATTTCATTTTTTGCTTTCTTTTCCACAAGAAAACAATAACTCTACTTAAAAAATAGCTGGGATTAATATATTGAGCAGTTTGGGTAACAACCCATGCAGGAATTTCTAAATGACCCAATCTTTATTGCTTATCCAGTCTTTATCAAAACGAAAAGACAAGGTTAGTTTATTAGTAACAAAAATTCCGCATACTTTAAAATGACTAAGGCATTTTTTTACCATGATTTATGATAAATAGAATTAATAAACCCTATTTTTTCAGTATATTCTGATAATCGAATTATGCTGCATTTTGTTCTACTTATTAATATAAGTAGGTGGTCGCGACAAATGTTGGAAACTAATTGACGTCTCTATGCTATTGGTTTTTTTGTTAAAAGAAGTTTAAAAGCATCATTATCAGTCTGCATTAGTCAAGTTTTACATTTAACAATCAAATAAAATGGAAAGCATTCACGTCTTTCCTTTCCCAAGCCAATTGTGTCGAATGTAAATCTTCACTAGTCATTTCCATCAGAGGGACGTAACTTATTTAGAAAAAAAAAGAATGGCTCCCTCTCAAAGTGACACATCTATCAACCGATGCAGATTTTGTGTTTTAGCCACCTCTCAGAGGTGAATTGCTCTACTGAAGCGCACCTCCTCCAAATGTCATGCAACAACAAATTTGATTAAAAGCTTCCCCGGTCGTGGAACCGAGTTTACCTTCCTTTGCTAGACCAGACAAACTCAGAGCACAGTCAGTAGAAACAGACAGATAGGTGGACGCAAATCTATGCTTTATAATGCAGACACATTTTGTCCATCTCTTTTAATCAAAGCAAGTCATTGCCAGTCCACTAGTTACTGGGACATCTTCGGGATGAGAGGCCGGAAGAAAAAAAAACATTTAAACATTGCCACTACTACGAAAAAAACTGAATGATGGCTCATAAAATGGCAAAAAAAACTGATCGGTTACCCACCAATTCCTTCTTGCACAATGGGGAGTCCAAATTGGGTAAAGACTTTTCCAGTCTCTCCCTGATTGTCATGATCCACTGAGGTAGCACCTGTTCCTTCTCCTTGCCCACCTCCTCGCCGTCCGAATCCATGAGCATGGCTGCCTCAATAGCCGTGCAGGTGGACAACCAATCACAGAGTCGAGTTCGACGACGATCTATCATTCCTCTTGCTGCGTCCATACAGGCATGAAGCTCATCAGACGCTTCGTGAAGTTGTCTTTGCGCCTCCATGTCCTCTAGGCTTGAACTTACCTTCTCAGAGATGGCACACAGTTGAGCTGAACGCCTCTCATGGGTTTTTAGGATGGCGTCCAGTTTCTACAATTCGTAACGTTGCCTGCACTTAAATGGAAGGTGGAATTTTGACATGGAAGCTGGGGTCGGTGTCTTGATCCGAAACACCACAAATACTGCTTCAATTTTAGCATCATCTGTTCAAATTGGCCTTAATGACAACTGATGGTTGTCACTGGTGACTACAGTGCCGCATTTTAAGCCTGAGTCATCCGGACTAGCATGGATTCGGACTCTGTTGAAATCACCTCCATATCTGGAGAGTATAGAGGGCGAGTGAAAGGAGGAGGCAGCACCTCCTCATCGGTAAGTTCTACAGAATGCGATTGCGATGATGGACCGAAGGTGGAGGAAGCGGACGGACACGACTCTATCTCTGCCATTCGATGCCTATTAAAAACCACTCGAAGTGACATGAATGCTCCTCCTAGATCAATGTCTACTCGTTTGCATCAATATACCTTATTCTACTAGCCCTGGAACACCTTCCACAAATTTTATACTCCAATACCATTCTGATATCCTTTCCTACGTACTCCGAGACGACCTAAGATGTTACTACACAAAACTCCACAACCTACCGCTAGTTCTTGGGACTTCTTTTTAACCCATTTTGAGGACATACGAATGGGTCCAGAGGTCCCCGGTGAAAGCCAGAATTGACCGTCCAATTTAGAAATGTAATTGGACGGTGTATCGATGATTGGTATGTGGAGATCATTCTCCTGCAACCAAGCCAACTCCTCCTTCAGACGGTTGAGACAGGCCTCAAAATCCGTAATTCCAGTGTCCTCGCATTTTTGATTCTGTGTGTTTGGACTGGAAATGTAAAGGAAAAAGCCTTTACTTTGTTTTCCAAGAGGGTTTATAGGGAGCTCTGTGTATGTCACTTCTGTCAGATCGGTGATCTGGTCCGTATCCTTGACATCACCTCCAAATATCTGTATTCTGTCACGTCTTAAAAGCAACTTAAACCCCACGCACGATTATAAGCCTGTCATTGTGAAATAGATCGTTAAAAACTACGCCATTTATGGAGCATGCGAAAATCGCTGGAAAATCCAAATGAAAATACCCACAAATGACCTAAAACGGGTGCACCATGGTGTTTACAAGTGAATTTTATGACTTGTCATGCATTTCTAGTGCCTGTCAAGGCCACGTGTGCTCTATGATCTCTAGCCCATAGCCTAGAGGTTGGTTGCAACTCCATGGAGGACTCGGAGGGCTACATTGATGAGAGAAAGGGAGACACAAAAGCGACAACTATGCCAAAATCTGTGACGCATTATCAGAGGAGTTAAGTTTGTGTCGGTTTTTGACACGTCCTCCAAACCCGAGGTCCCCGCAGAAGACTTACTAACCCTAATGCGATTGATTTTAGGAGACACTACTATCAAAAGTTATAAGTAGACATACCCTCCGGTCTTGGGTACCCCTTTCCCCCTCAAATGCATTCTCCTCGGATTTTTGAGTACTTCACCTCAGATAAGGAGTCGTCACAACACATTAGCCTGTCTTGCTGATAGACCTCCACCGACGAAGTGGGAGAGACACCTGTCTAGACGGTGTGACCCAATGACCCCGCCTCCACATTCGCTTGTCCTACTGCACCCCACCAATATACCGTTCTTCTTATTACCGCCTCAAAAAAAACTTTCAAGAACTATTTGAGAAAGATTTTGGAGATATTTATAAAGTGGAGGAAAGAAAAAGTTAAAAGAAATTTAGTATGTCTTACAATGTTGTTTCCTGGAGTCCCTCCGAATCACTGGACGAGTCTGACTTGGATGGGGCTTGGTAATCGTCAATTCCGGTGGCATCAATTCGTAGATTTGGCGGCAGGAAGCTTTCAATTGAATACTTCTTTGATAGTCCACGCAGATCCTCAACTAAGGTGTTAAATGTCTCATTGACAAATGTAATATCGTCGTGAAGGGTGGATTCCACTCTCAGTGGACGGCGGGAACAACGTTTGTCAAAAACAGGTTGAAGGTACAGATCGGCGTCTAGTCCATTGCCAATCTCACCACTCTGAGCTTTCCAAACAATCCTGCTGCCCAAGCGTTGAAGGGTTAGAACAGAGGAGCAGAGATTCACTGCGTAGTCCTAGCGAAGAAAAATCGAGACTGTGAGATGGGGACACAGAGAGAAAATCTCTAGATGGATGCTTAGAAAGCATAACCTCAAGTGTTAAGGGGAGGACTTAATGTAGAAGACATTGAAGAAGTGTTTGGAAAGTTGAGTACTTGTAAAGGCTACAAAATTCCCACATACCCGTGCAGATCCAACACTGACTTCCGCACTGCCTTGATCCTCCTTAGGTAGACGATCCAGCTGAAGCATCTCAATCTGGTGCTTCTGTCGAATGGCCTCGTTCATGAAGGACTGCCAGAGGTTAGCATACTCTTGCCAGTAGCTAAAAGAAGTTGTAGGTAAAGCTGCTTCTTTTGTGCGATTATTGACTGCCTCTTAAGAGCCTCAGTAGACAAAAACCCACCACTGCTCGGCTGTTGCATCAGAAAGAACGTAAACAGCGCAATTTGTTCCTCCGCCCTATGAGTATTCTATAGCCGTTTTATTGTTTTACGGTCAGCCAATTCGTTTACGACGCGATTTGGCGCACCACTTTCTTACAAACCGATGAAGAACATCTGTCACATATGAGTGACACTGGCGGGAAATATTTTAGGAGGGTTAGAGATTTTTAAATTCTTTTCTAAATTCAACAACAAATTGTAAGAAATTGTTATCTTCAACTGTCTGACTATGACATCTGTATTTCTATATTTTTTTTTCTCTTGAAACCGAACGAAATAGGTAATACTAACTCACGGTCTACAAAGATGGAATTCATTGCAGTAGGCGTTGAGTCGTCCCTTCTGAGTCTCTAGCACAGCGTCAAGCCAAAGAGTGGTTGCTAGGAGTTCATTTTCACCCTCATTTTCAACTGATACTGGGGGTTGACCAGTTTTGCAATTAATCAAGCTGTTGGTTGCTTTCGAAGCGGCTTCTTGGGCGAGAATAAAGTACTGATCCAAGCTCTGAAATGCAGAAAATGCCAAAAGTTACGCCCAAAATCCAAATAATCGCCTACCGTGTGGCCTACAAAAACAAATGCTACACCAATGGAATATGGATGGATGGATGAGGCCATCAAGACCTACCTGAATCTGGCTAGACAATTCATGCGTAGGAATGCTCTGACAGGAGTGCAACTCGTCCTGGATCTCATTCAACTGGGTCACAAATTGTTGTAAACATTCCCGAAAAGGTATTAATTTGGCCAGAAGATCTGTGGAATGATTGGATGCTGCTAAACGACGCGCGGTTTCAGCATGTTCTCCTTCTTCTAGCCGCACCCTATCCTGCGTGAGATTCCAGTTGTAGGTATCCTCCAGTTGTGTTATGTAGGTCAAGCAGGCCTGACGATCACTGTTGGTCGGTAGTCTCTACAATCAGTAAGAATTACAAAGAACAATAACACATTCAAGGGGAATGTAAAGGTAGTTTACATGTCACCTCACCTCCCAAACGTTGTTGGGTTGTAAGAGCATCTCTGACAAACTTCATGTTCTAGAAGAAATTTCATGTACCCCCTGACCTCACTTAACGTGGCACAGACCAGCAAATTCTACTATTAAACCACCTCTCCTCATCCCTCAAGGAGTTGGACGAACATCTGATCCCATCCAACGTAACTCCACAGACCAGCGGAGTCTTGTCCGCAAAAGCCAAGAAGCCGACAACTTCCATCTCCCATCTACTCTATTTCCTGTGTGATTATTTAACCATCTGGTGACACCAAAAGTAGTAGTTATCCTTTCTAGTCGTTTGTCGCTGCCCCCTCTCCCATTCTTAGGTCTAATAACGAATAAAGGATCTTCCTGAAGGTGATACACACTTGATCACCAAAATCAAGGCGTCTGGACCACTTCTGGACTGTCCGTGCTACAACCGCTCAGACGCGCCCACCCTTAACAAATGTCTGCTGAACCACACTGACAACTCAACCAACTTTTGATCGCCTGATACTTTTAAAAATGTATAAATTATTACAAAGAATCACCTCATATTTGGAGAGTGCGGTATCGGCGGTCTTCAGAAGCTCCGCTAACTGTCTGAACTGTTCAAGCTCCCAGGACATATTACTCCTCGAGTCAGACCATAGTTTCTGCGAAGTGAAGAGGCAAGTCAGTAGGCGCTGAACAACTTTTGGCCATCGTTAAAAAGGTACTTTTAATTCACCTGAACTTTTAGGACAATTTTTTTGTCCTCTTGAGAAAGTTCCTCGGCAGCCTTCAATATGTCCTTCAGTCGGGACTCCAGGTACTGTGACTGTAGTCTGAAGTACTAGACCATGCAGAAATTTGGGAGGAGTTACTACGGAGCAACCCGTTAAAGGTCTCTTTCACATTTAAAAATTGATTAAAATAAAGGCGATTAGCCAATCAGATACGAGTGAGCCGGGATTGCTCAGACAGTGACCTTGAGACAAAATTTGGCAGATTAAGAAACTCAAGAGAGAGAAGACGGCGTATTTTATGTGCCCAGGACTTTGCAGAAACCTCTGAGACTAGTCTCTTTACAAGTGCAGCATATTTCAAAGCCAAGCACACAGGTGACCTTATGAAGAGAAGAAAGAAAGGAGTTACGCAACAACCCGCACATCAAAGTGTGCTAACGGAATGCATAAAAAGATTTTCCTAGCAGTGCTTTCAAAAATGAAAAGAAAAAGAAGAAAATGATGGTATTTTGCGCACTGCATTAGCATTTAGGATGTAGGTGTGTGGGAGGAAGAAGGACTTTGATTCGTCCTTAAAATTATAAAATCGTGGGAAAAGAAGCACCACAAGCTAACTGTACAAGCACGATTTTGGAGACGGTGAGAGCGTGGATGAGGGGAGGAGAGAGGAGGCTAGAGAAGCAGGTTCCGGAGTTAGGAGTTAGAGTTAACTTTCAAATTAGAAGGGCTCACCTGCTCGAAGAAATTCAAGTAAACCTAAATAGTTATAAGTAGTATCGGGGATCCCTCAAATTTTATCTTAGAAGGGGGATAAAGCAAGTTAAAGTGAGGCAAAAGCGGGGGCTGTAATCTTACCTCAATTTTCTTTCGGATCTTTGCAATTGTCGTTTGTAACGGTTCCACTGACTCCTTATCTCTCTGTGACCTGGCTGATTGATCCAAGTTGACACAGAACTTGTTGAAGGTAACAAGATCTTCAAAGAACGCTACCATTTCTGAAGTCAGCTGGTTTGATCTTGTATACAAGGTGGAGAGCAATTGTTCTGGAGCTCCATTTTTGGCCTCGCTTACATCCACCTTGGCTGGAGGCTTCTAAAATGAGGTAGGTGTCCCCTGAACCCATCATTTTGAGGTACTGCATTCAAATGGTACCGAGATTTGAAGGCTTTTAAGTTTAAAATGAAAACCACGGACTGTAGGAAGTGGCATTTGTGTTACCGAACCCTTGATTAGCTTGTGAAGCAACGACGGCCTACTTGTCTCGGTGGAAGACTTCAGGTGCGGTACACTAGGCTCATAGGCCTGCCAATGACAATCCCGATCGTAGTGGATCCCATTCCAGTCTGTAAAACATCTAAGATTGGATAGGCGACGCTTATCTGCCACGAGATATAAAAGTGGTAAAAATTTCCTTTGAAATATGGGATAAATCCACAGATAGGCGCTGTAGTAGCTTTCCTCATCGCCTGTTCTATGATTGGTCGGTCATACTGACCAACTTGTCTATGCAAGTGCTGAAACTCACTTCTCGGGACTTTTATCAAACCCAGGGATTCCACTATGGCCCAAAAGCCAGCTTAACCAACTAACCTGAGTACTCTCCAAGCAGGTAGCTGGTTGTTGAGGTACAATCCTAATCTCGGTGGCTTCTGTCGCTGAGCTTTCATTGGACTCAGCGACTAGGCCATTGACCTGTGCCCGAAATGCATTCCTGGCCGCAAAGGCCTTGTCAATCACTCGACGCACATCGGCGATTGTACTATTGAGACCCTCTGTTGGAGTAATTTCGGCTTCAATTTGAACAAGTAGCTCTTCTAACTTTTGAAGGGTTGATTTATCTTCATCAGGTATGGAACGCTTGGTGGAAGGCGGTTCTCGTTCCTCCCGACCGAGAACTTCAGACAGTTCAGCAAGAACTCTCTACAAGGAAGGAGGAGAAAAGAAGTTGCCGGTAGATGCTGGTGATTTGAAAAATTCACCTGAAGCATGTCGATGTGTGAGTTCTGAGTATCAGCCGTTTCTAGATAATCGGTCACCTCTTCCACATTTATCATGACTTGTTCCAGTGGATCGACAATCTGGGAGTAGCGATCTGCAAACGGTTGCAGCTTTTCAACACCTTCTTCGAATCGTTTGACCTGAAATGATGTGAAGCAGTCAAATAAGAAATAACATTGCTTACATGATCAAGGATTTTTGCGTTCTTCTCGTGGAGATCTCTCAACTCCTCTATCAACTCTGTATTAGCATTGCGTAGTTCAGGTGGTGGAGTGACAGATGACACCTTGTCCTGCAACTGATCAATCAATTTTTGACCATTGTGGATACGATCTATCAACTCAACACTCTTCATGATTAATCCTGCTATGTGTTCACTGATTAGAGAGACGATTTCCAAATTGATGGCCGCAACGTCGTGTTCCCTCGTGATTTCACGACATCGTTGAATGGAATTTCGGACATCAGTGGGATAAGTGAAAAGGAGAAGGTGTCTTTTGAGGTTAGACGCCTCCACCTAGCGGGAATGCAAAAAGTCGCATTGTCATAAACCCCATTTGTACCGAATGCATATACTTCTTGCTAAGCATTATGCTTTGTAAGTAGTACGTATCTAAGCAGTGACTTGGTAATCATATGAATGAAGCACTTTCTAACCTGGATAGAATTTATCCTTTCAACAAGGCTATCAGGTACCCGAGCCTCCATTGAATCACTCTTCAAGTCCTTGGCTAGGTCACGTTTAACGTTTGACACCACCCCGTCCATCACAGCGATGTGGGTACACCATTCAAGGAATTCACCTCGACTCGAGTCTGCTGTTTCGCTCTCTCCCATTCGCTGCTGGACTGCCTTCGATATCTCATTTAGCCATGACTCGTAGTCGTCTAAGCGTATCTGTATCTCCTCGGTTCGCTCCTTTAATTTTTTCAGCTCCTCGAGTCGCTGGATAAGCTACAGGGACAAAAATAACGTTGTTTACACTAGGAAACACCCTACTTATATCCAATATAAGTAGACTACGGTATAGAAAAAACGTCGAATAGTTCCCTGACTGAACAACTTTTGATTTCATCTGCTTGAACCCCCGGGCCAAAGTCTAATTGAGCTAACTCTGTATATTTGGAGGAGGGGGGAAAGGGAGGTATAAAAAGTTTCCGAACAACGCTTTTTCTATTTCTGTACATTCTTTTATGGCCCAAATTAATCACCTCTCGCTATCGACTAAAATGTGTTAAATAGTTAAATTCCTACCCACAGGGGTAACCCATTTTCCGTAAAAATTTGCCCCTTGTTTGTAAGGTCTGACCGTTTGGTCGACTCAAAGATGGCACATTTGTTTAGCGCCGAGACCGGAGTATAGACGGAGTATTTAACGGAAAACAAAGCCGTTTTTTTTGTGAGCAACAATCCCATAGGGGAATACGTCCTTCCTCTCCTCACCCTACTTATAGACGACTTTATGAGGAAAGATTTTGTCCATTAATGTTTCCTCACTCAAGACATGGAATGCGACGAAGTGACCGGTTTGACTGGCAGGCTTAGCCGCATGGTAGCCTACCGTCCCTTTCGCTTTCTCTGTCTTCAAAAAAAGATGTGGAGCATTTCAAATCCTCTTGGAAAGTCAACTTTCTACCGACACTCGATCTGTACATTTGATTTAGTCACATCTCAAAGATGTCAGATTTTGAAGAGGTGTAGGCGGTCAAAACTACTTATTCCCAATTAAGTACCACTCAACAGGGAAAGAAATACTGTCTTCTCTTCTCTAAAAGTAAGTAACAAGTCACCTCTTTAAGAGCGTTTGTAACCCCGATGGCATAGGCCTCAAATTCTGCGCTCAATTGTTGGGACATAATTCCCTCGGAAGAGAGGAGTTCCACAATCTTTTTTAATCGGGCAAAATCGTCTTCCGAGTGTTCTGACTTCAAATTTTCAAAGGCCTACAAAAAACAAAACGAAATTTTTTAAATTTGTTTAAACTTACTTATACTTTGCGGCGTGTTTAAAATGTACGGTTGAGTTTTTTAGGGTGGTTCTACTCAAACAAACGGCCTAGCTTAGTAGATTCGGTCAATTGTAACACCATGCGATGCGAGGACACGTTGTTACCTTCTAAGAAGCCTGCTTGTGTACCCTCGAATTGGGGAGGGGATAGTTAGTAAGATCCCTCTTCGCATGCATTCTACTCATGCAAGAGTGAAACCCACCTTAATGACTTTCTGTCGGTAGAAAGTAGCACAGAAAGTTAATCCACAATAATAGAAAATAGGAGAGGGAAAAACTTGTGTTGAAGGCGCCTAGGTGCCTGCCAGCAGGGCTAGAGCAGAGATTTCTTATCGCCAATCCAGCTTTGACATTCTGTGGAACTTAAGTCGGTTTCTATAAATCCTTATTAAAAGCTTGCACACGTGCGCCACCTCTATTGGCTCCAGCGATTTCTAACTCTGGAATGAAGTGGTTTGTGTGCTTCTGTGTGTGTGCGTGTGTGTATGGTTTGTCATTTGTGCGACTCCAAAGGACGAGTGCTCCAATTCTTTTTTGCACTCTTTCATGGAAAAATTTCTATTGGAGGATCAAAGTTTGCCACCGGAGGCCACCTATCGGGGATGCTCTCTCCCCTCTCTCCCTATCCCTGCACTCACTTAAGATGGCTTACTTCATCAAAAAGGCATGGAAAATGTGGGGAGGAACGTTGCGTACTTTGCAAGCAACTCACCATAATGTCGTCACAGATGTCGCCGATGTCCACAAACACCTGCTGCTTCGATTTACGTATCGTGGAATCGACACGCTCCAACCAGTGTTTTTCGTAGGACATCAGAGCTAAAGAAAAAAAAGAACAGATTAGCGCCCTTTAAAAGCAATTTGCAGTGAATTTATCTGCCATTTAACTGCGTGGGTTGTACTTTTGCTCTGCTGCACGTTCTTCGCTCCACGCTGGTAACCCTCCAGACCTTCCACAAGTTTGCAAGTAGTATGCTCCCCCATATCAACATTGGTTTATTACGTCTTCAAGGAAGACGCATGCTTTAATATCCATAGGGAGGCTCTTTAATTTCTCCAAGGGACCTCACAATTTCCCCAAAAATTAAATTTTCCCCTCCGCCACGTTCCTGCCTCCCCCTCGAAGTGATATTTCCTGATGGGGGAAAAAATGGCACCTAACAACTTGTCACAGAAGATTAAGTAGTCTGTGAGATTTATTTGCTTATAAATTGCCCCTACAATCATAAGTTTGAAATAGAGGATTCTTTTTTTGCAATGAAAATCGAATTATTGCGGAAAAAGTGACCTGCTACTATCAATAGTAGTGTTGCCGTGACTTCCACATGTCACAAAGTGCTTTGCCTTTTTAAACAAAATATCCAGCCACCGTTTCACGTTAATTTTTATTTCCCATTCATCTACTCCGCTTCTCCCATGGGATCATGCAAGTGTCTGGCGTTGGTGCTAAGAAATGGTGGCAATCAAGGGGAGAAGGGAGGATGAGGATGAGGCGGTACCGCCCTCCTTCTCTCCCTCCCTATTTCCCTCCCATCCTAGAGTGCGGTAAGAAATTCCATAATGGGTAAGTTTTGTTTCATGCATGAACACCCCTTTCTTACAACTGATTGACCAGAGATGGGTATTTCGAAAGAATCCTTAATTGGGAAATATTATTGGTACGCCCCTTTTTCCCCAAAGGTTCTGCATTAACCTCGATAAGCAGTCCCTTCAGCTTTGGGACTGCATTGAAGGTATAAGTCCAAATCACACTCAGTAGATTCAGCCAGACATTCTACGGGGCAGGGGTTTAAAATGGAAGAAAATCAAGCGGGAACGTGAGATAGAGCACCACATCGACAGGCTGACTGGCACAGGATAGGCATAAACGCATGAACAGGTTCGAAGAGGATAGTTCAGCCTGTCGGACCGCAAAAACCTTCTTCGTATTGCAGAAATGTCTGAATGCCTATCTTAAATAAGCTTTTTGCGTTTTAAAGTTTTCAAAACTCACATTTAAAGTCATTGAAGTGATATGTTGCAGATTTGAGTCGCTCCTGTCCGGCGGCATACTCCGATTCCAAGTCAGCAAAGTGTCCGGAGAATAGAAGAGCGGTCTTCTCCGACACTGGTTTGCCTGTGGCGTCTGTGACCTCGCCATTTCGAATGGCCGCAATCATTGGGCGTTTGGAGGCCAGCTCCTTTTCAAATTCCTAAAAAAACGAATGTAAATCAAGATATAATATTTGCACTACTTTATGTAAATAAATAGAAAGGATTAATTGCCTTCAGAAAACTTGCAAATCCCTCCATCTCGTCGTGATTTCTAATTGTTGCATATTTTGCTAGCCGATGCTTGGCTTCGGAGATCCATTTTTGCAACTCATCCATGTCCAACATTCGAACCATGACGGTATCCGGTTGTTGATTCCGAGTAGCTCCACTAGTTGCTGTGATAGGCAATCCCTGGACTGCGGAGTGAAGCGAGGCAACTGAATCACTGGCCTGGTCTTCCGTAGACTTCTCCTCCTCCACCTCTATTTTTGCCTTCTTAGAAACGATTGCGGATTCTAGCTTTCCACGAAGGAAGAGAATATTCTCATTCGTCAACTCCTTTACCCGATTCCAAGTGCGTTTCAACTCGCCTAGGCGCTCGTTTAACTTCTGCACAGAACGAGCAAAATAACGTGTTTATTTATATTATACGACAGAAGGCTGTGCCTGCATAATTCGTGATTAGCCAATCAGAGCTTACTTTGATGTAGGGTTCGCTGAAGAAGCTTCTTAGCTCTTCAACTATGTCATCCAGATGACCAAGTGTTGGCTGCATCTTCTCCATATCACGGAGAGCTTCTATAGACTCGCCCAGTTGAGCTTCGATTGCTGGCGGCTGGACATTGGTGGCTTGAGCCACCGAATCGAGGTAGTCAAACATATCTCCCATGAGTTTTTCAAATCGCTCAATTTGATTCTTGAATAAGAAAAAAAGAGGGAAGAGAGGGCAAATTAATTTACTTTCAGCCGTCCTCCTGAAATAACCTCCTTAACTACTTTAAACGACACGTTAGAAGAGCAGATTTGGGTTGAAATTTTTGGGTAAGAGCCGGGTTACTTTGAACCCACAGATTTGGAGTTTCCGCCCCCTCTAAGCATTGATAGATCACCTATGTTTGACACCTCAGCTCTCCCTATATAATTTTGCTGTGGGGAGGCTTGCATCTGAGATATTGTTGGGGAAAGCCAAATGATTCAACAATCCTAGGGTCACTATCATCAAAATCACAAAGGAGGCTGACGGTAAAGCAACTCCTACACCCTAAATTGGGAGTTTTGCTAGGCACAAGTCCTAGCCTAATGATCTGGGAGGAGATAAACAAAAATTTCCAACGCCGTCATTGAGACACCCACCAAGGGGGCCTTAATGGCACTTCTACTACTTCGAAATTCCAGCGTCACAAATACGTGACAGGCTCTGATTTCCCCAAGAAAAACAAATATTTGGCCTTTAAGGGGGAATTCCTTCGCAAACTACCTCTTCTGCAGTCTATCACACACGCACAAACAGCGTCCCCAACTTGCCCAAAGTTTTGACAACGAATTGACACCTCAGGAATTCAAGGTGGGTGGTGAATGGAGACCTCTAGAGACCAACCATCAGCATGTCTCTTCACGGAATGTTGCCATAAAAAGGGGCGGTTTTGAAAGACTCATGCAGGAAGTAAAGAAGGAGACAGAGGCTGACTTTGAGTTAATGGCTACCACTCGCTCATTTACTCACATTAACCACCACTGTAAAGTTGTTTCTGACACGTCAGTCTTCAATCACCCACACGTATTCTCGTCTTTTTTACAGAGTAATACACTTTTTTTTTCATTTTATCCATAATAGCGGGTTTATTGAGCACCGTAAAGCCCTAGTTCTGTGAGAGAAAACCGCATTTGCATGGCATCCTTCCCTAAGGCCAAGTCATCCCCCTAAGTTGGTCACTTAATTGGGATTGCAGCCTTCTTCTCCGCCCCTCCGCCCTCCTGAATAGGAGGACTTTAAGCGAAAGGAACCGAGGGACTGCCAGAACATCTTCGGTTTCTAGGGCCGTCTCCCTCCCAGCATTCGCGCCAACTACTTTTTGATCACCCGATAGGTTATTTATCCAAGGATGTGCCGCTTTTTCCTTGTTTTGAAGCACATAACTGCCTCTTAGTTCATGTGACAGGGGACGTTCTTTATACTTTGAATGTAGAGAAAAAAACGTAGTAAAATAAATGGGTTTAACTCTGTGGTGATATGAATAATGGGGGGGGGGGTTACCAGATCCCTCCCTCCCCCCAATCGGTTTGTTTAAGTCTTTCACAAAACAGTGTCTGTTTAAAGTACCTGCATAATCTGGGTTCCCCTACCAGGTCTCACTAATTTCAGAGGTGGGAGAGACATTCCACTTACAATGAATAAGTCGTGATTCTCGCAGAGATTTCGCAGCACCGGAACTCTTTCACTGATTAGGTTTCTGACCTGCTGCCACTCCTCTGTCAACTCTTGCGCCTCCTGTTTCGTCAGAGTGGCTAGAAAGTGCTCCACAACTGCCGTTCTCGGTTGCATTTGAACCACTCGCTGAAAGGTAAAACAGACACAACATCCATGAAAGGTGAAATTACCCTCATGGGATTTAAGTAGTAGTATACTCCTTAAGGGACATTTTAAGTAGATGTAGGAAACGAAAATCTCCCCTTTTTTAGAAAGAAAAGCCCTTTTAAACATGCAAGATTTGGAAGGTGACAGAGAGGTGGACTTGTATATGCGCCGGTTGTTTACGTTATGACAGTGGACCTGTGAAGACCCCCGCAATTGGGCCACATAGGGTCACTGCCAGCCGGCCAGTCTCCGTGCCAAACCACATTGAGAGGGCAAACGCCACCACCACTACCACATTCTCCTACCCACCTTTGTCGTAAGGCTTCACCATCACCCCCTCTTTAACGCCGATTATACTACTGACAAGTAATAGGCGTACATCCGCCCAGTAAGACAATGCATTAAGGACGACTGGCAGGGGTGGTTTCAAGGACTTTAAAAGACACCTCAAATTTAAAATCCCAATGCATACAAAAGTGCTTTGTTTTTACCGTAAAATTGGAGATAAGATCGTCGAGGTTATTGCCATCTTTGCAGTTGATAGGACAGGTTGCTTCGTTTTTGGCCGATGTTAGCCACTGTCTGAAGGATTCCACAGATCTACAAATATCTACAGAAGAAAGGGAGCAGTAATGGGTATTAAAATCCTGAAAAATAGAGAAAAATTAAGCATCCCAGTGAGTCAGTAAAACCCCCGATGCGTAATTGGAGTTGAAGCTTTAAGGACATCAGGAGTGGGCAAAAAGGCCCTCAAAAGGACTCCCAAAATCGAGAGGGCGCCAGACAAAGGGAGCACATTCTTAGGACGGAGGAAGTGATGTCCAAACAAGTCGACTTTGAAAGGCTCAATTGACGCAGCTGCTACTACCTTACACACTGCCACCAGTTTTTAAGCCTCCGCCTTCCCTGCGAATTAGTCACCCCGACGACCGGAATGATTCACGCATTTCGTTTGCATAAGCTAGAATACCTTTCTGCTACCAAATGTCGCATTTAATCATGTGAAAAATCGGTACTAGAAACGTACTTTGTGGACTCCTTTCCGATAGGGGAGGAGGAGAAGGTGAAGGGAACTTTTGCGAGGCTGTTTCATCAGAAGTCGCGGCTTTTGAAGCTACGGTCTGTGCAGTCGCCTTTTTGTAGAACTGGTCGAGCAATCCCCACCTCTCCTCAATGTCATCGAAAAGCTGATCCAATTCGTCAACATTTTCACCGGCTAAAATTTAAATCAGCTCCTTAGTAAATAACAAGTTCTACCGCCAAAGGGGAGAGGATGCGCGACCCACCTTGACTGAGATCTCGCCTGTATCGTTCACCGAGTGAGTTGACGATAACCATGTTTTCTTTGGCTTCTGGCAGCTCCTTGTCAATCCGCGCAATCACCTCACTTGGTGATTTAGAGGGCTGACTCGTCCTCGGCTCTGTGGTGGCTCGCTGCTCCTGGCCTTCATCGTATGCCTTCAATGTGACCAATTCAAGCAATTCTATTCGTGAGTCTAGCCAATTCAACAATTTCTCCGCACGACTCTCGAATTCAGCGCGATAGCCTGTTGGCAGGAGTGCAAGTCGACCTACAAATGGAGGATGAGTCTTCCAGAGTAGTTCATGTCTCTCTATTTGGCGGTTTAAATTGTGTAACAGGTCGGCGCCCTCTTTGACCCCGTAATAGTGGAGGCGGTCTTCTCACTACGACCGCAACATTTCACCATACCCACAATGTCTACCACAACTTGTAAGCTTCGGGTTGTGGGCAGGGTGCGGCTTACTTTCTTCGGTCAAATAAAGACGCAGTTGTCATGGCTACATTGTATAAGAAAAGTAGCTTAAAAAGGGGAGAGAACAGGCAAAAACGATAGCTCACCGGATTCCAGGCTAACACGTTTTTCCGGAGCCGTGCTAGGAGCACCATCAGCCGGGCGTTTTGCTCCGTCGGAGGCAGGTTGACCTTCACGTAGTGGCGCCTGATGGTTGATAAAGAATATCTCAGTGTGTGCGACTGCAAATAACATAGTGTACTTCAGCTAGTCATAATCCATGCTACTCAAGACCGATTACCCGATCTTCCTACCTCCCGTCTAGAAGGTGGTTCCCCTCGACAACCATTGGTACTGAGGGGTAATCAAAGAGGCCTTCAAGGATTCCACTCAAGAAAGGACTAACCTTTGCCCCCTTTTCCGTTCGCCAGTAACATGGAATTGCTTTATCATCCCCACTGCGTGTCTAGACCCGTGGTTAAACTTTAAATGGACTCGCCTTAAGCAATTTCAGGGTGCGCGGGAGGCAGGAGCACGCTGATATGTTGAACCAGCCTGAAAACTTATGTAGGTACCCTAACTAAGCAAGAAGAATGCAGATTTTGTGTTTTCCTCTCTCCTGTCACAAGGTGACTTGACACGCGCATTGGCAATCCCAAGTGTTCAACACATTCCAAAGGTGCTGTCAAGCGTCAATGCCTTTCCTAATCGCTTCTAATCAATAGAATGCGTTTTTTTTCTTCAGGAACAAAAACAAAATAAGAATAAAATTGCAGCTTTATAATAACACTTTTTCTCTCACTCTTTTTTTCACATCCACACCTCACCATCATCACCACTTTTTTCCCGCATAAGTCATGCCGGTAGACATGAAAAGCGCGGTCACAAGGGCATTTGGCGGCGAGGGTCTGATTCACTCCGCTAAAAAGTGAGCTCATCAACTTTGTGCGTGTTTGTGTGTGTGTGTGTGTGTGTGTGTGTGTGTGTTCCTTGCGCGTGATCCATAGGACAGGTATTTAATTTGGCTCTGCTCCAAAGCAATCAACTGAGACTTTAAACCCGATGTCATGTGTGCGCGTGTGTGCGTGTGTGTATCAACTTGTGTCCTCCTGCCGCACCCACTGTCACCTCATCCAGAGTAGGTATCTTCTGCGTCCTTTGGCTTTCACTTACCCCATAATTTAGCCTGTTGGGTTTACTCTTAAGAAGGCGCCACTTCTAAAGGCGTGAGTTGTGACTCTGACATTGGAGGTGCACATCTGACAGACAACAGTCCGGGTCTGACAGATGGACTGACTACTGACAGGTGATGTGCCAAACAGGAGGGGGGGGGGGGATAACCTTTACATCCTTTTTGACTTTGAAAAATGACGAAAAAAAAAAAAAAACTAGACCGGCGAAATATACCCTAGCCTTAGTAAAATACAACCCAGCTCAAAAAACCAATGTGTGTGTTTGTGTGTGTAAGCAGTCCGGTGGGTGAGAGACTCGCCAAAGCACGTACCAATTCAGCGATGCAATGTTGCCACTTGGGGATGTAAGCTGATCTACACTCTGGTGGATCGAAAGGAGGATTGTATTCAAAAAAAGGTTTTTTTTTCCTCCAAAAAAAATTTAACGGGAGACTATTCAGTTATTCCAAAGCTCCAGAAGATGGCTCCAGGACAGGTGGTAGAAATGAGGACTTCGGATAATCCTTCAAACCTAGCCGACTCTCATTCCAATTAAAAAGTCAGGTGTCAGAATGGATCATGAAAAGGTAGTAAAATGTGAGGGAAAAATGGAGGATTTGGGGGGGGGGGGATGGGCATAAACACCAAAAGGTACAGGGAACCTACTTCATCTGGTTGCTGCATTGCCGGGATAACAAACCTCGAGGTGATAGTGAGCGAGTTCTCCTCCAAGTCCAGTTGGGGTTCGGTAAGTTGACTCCACTGTGAAACTAGGGCGTCCACACGTGTTTCAACGGCGTGTTGAATCTCAATGGAGTCACCACAGGCCTCACGCACGGCGCTTGCACGTCTATCCAAACTCGCCAATAGTTGAGCCCACCGTGTCTCGTAGCGAGAGAGACAGGCCTATGTGGTGTGTGTGTGTGTGTGTGTGTGTGTGTGTAAAAGAGAGACTAATAAGATTACGTAATACGCCAGCACTCGGTTGCAGGCCTCTCATGGTAGGCGCTAAACCGCCACAAATGACACTCACGCACACACGCACGCACACACAAACAAGGTCAGAGTGAACTCAACGCATCGTGTGTACACACGACAGAAACGCGGTGGCAGGTGTTTACGACCTCTTGGCCAATCAATACACCGGGTCACGACAACGATTACATTTGTCCTGACACCACTCTCCTCGATTTTAAATAAGCGAGATCTGAGCCGTCGACCTGGCAAGTTCTCGCCCTCATGAAAGTGCATCATGTGGTAAGTCTTTTTAGTCACCGAAAGGTCCTGAATAACTCGCCAAACGTGGACTGTTACGATCCACCTGAGCGTAGGTAGAGGATTCAAAGTTTGCGTCTTGGTGTCAACCTTCTGCAGCCACTTTTGGTATTCCTAACCAACCGTACTTAGAGGAAAGATGTGGAGCCAATTTTTTTGTCGTAGAGCGCTCAAGAGCCTCCTTCCAACCACCTTGAAAACTCTGGATTAAGGCGGGTTCAAAGGCAGAACTCTGTCAAAGTTTGGACCTGTCAAGATTTATGGCATGAGAATCATCCTCCAGGAGGGAAGCAACATGTCATCCACGGACAATCTAACAGGAAATCTCTGATGTGTGGATAACCCCTGCAAATTCACCTCCAGCGCCACCTCTTCTGATGCAAATTGGACAAGTCGATAGACGAGACGCTCTACCGATCCACCTTTAGAAAGAGGCGGCTAATTGTAAAATACTATCCCATTCATTCACTGTCTCCTTCTTTTCCCCCTGAATCCTAAGCCTTTGTGTTTAAATTGAAGCAGGGAACAACTGCACAGCTTAAAGCCAAGGCGGCGCTTTGTTGATCCTCAGTAACAAAATTAACCCTCAAAAGGCGTACTTTACGTAATCCCATGCGGTGGGAATTGGCAACCATGCGGGTTTCTCGGGTTTCAGAGGGATGGAGGGAGGGCCTCTGGATGAGCAAATGCGAGATATTCAAGAGCGTATCAGCTAACCGCAATTGCATTAGAACATAATCCGATAGCCAGGGTTACTCTCGTGTAAATTAAGGAAGATTCGAGCATGACAGATTCGATACGTTAGAGAGCAGTCTAACAGACCGATGCCAGTGTCGTTTAAACGCCTAGAAGTAATAATGTGAGTCCTAGTAGACCGGAAGCATACTACGTGTGCTTTATCGTGTAAAACTCAAGAAATCTGTTTAAACTGCACGATTGGCTACAAATAATTGTCATTGCTTATTCGTGGCAAGAGAAAAAGACGGTCAAATCAGTGCGTCACGTATGTGTGACGCTGGAGGTAAACACATAAATCGATAGTTATGCGTAAACATCCCATTTCTTGCATTTCTGTAACTCAAAATTCTGAAAGAGGAGGTCTTTTTTAATTCTCGAGTTTAAGAGGGAGCCAATCAAAGGGGGTGACGAAACTCTGTCCCAAGGTCAGCAGGGGCCCCACTCTGAAGGCACGCGGTAAACAATAATCACAGCTAGTTGGCTTTCTAATTGCGGCTTAAGACGGAATGCTAATGAGGCAGCGAATGGGGCCAACCGCCTAATTTAAATATTCTTCCGCTTTGGCACAACTTCGGTGATGCTTCTTCAAAACGGCGTCGCTCTTCTTCCCGCCAATTCTTTACCACTTCGTATTGGCTTCCAGCTAACAGCTTTGACACCATAAGGATTAAAATGTCTCCTTTCTATTCTCCGGGACACAATAAAGAAATATGGTAGTAATCAACAACTTTAACCGAGATCAACCTTGCTCCCACACCAATACAAATGGAGGTAAGCGCATCATGATTTACATGGCTTTTTGCCATTTGTCTAACATGCACGAAGTGTCACTGGCTTGGGGGTGACGACTGTTGAAACACTGTAAAGGTCTAGTGGAACCTACGAAGAAGGCTGGTAATTAACCGCACCTCTGAGCCCCATACTAAAATGTATAAATACATTCCATGTGAGTATCAGCATCTTCATGCGCCCTTCTCAAGTGCATCTACTGGAGGAGGTTACTAGGTAAAAAGTGTCTTGGTAACACACAATGGTATGATTGATCGGCTCTTTTTCTTTCCAGGATCTAAAAAAAATACGGCATTTCACCTTTGAAATGGGCTGCTATGAAGTTGACATCTGTCACTTCACTTAAAATTGGTTGTAGGCGTTTCTGGCAACGACACTTAAGTACTCTCTTCACGCATACTTTTTTTCGCTTTTTTTTTGGCAAACAGTTTTCCCCAGGTGCTGCCAAACGGTTACGACTAATAAGGTATACATCCTACTTAATTAATTTAAGTAAATGTCAAAAAAGTGATTTAAAAGTCTTTTCTTCACTTCTCTTGCAGTGATTCGCAGGGATCTTTCCAAATAATCTATTGCACTGGTTTTAATATTTTCAGTCTCCCTTGACTCCGGTGTCATCACTCCTTCCCATCCCATTAGTAGTGGTTGGTTTCTCCAGTCGGTAGACTGAAACGTCCGATCTTGGTGAAACTGCACTAAAGATTTGAAGTCAACAGTATTGGAAGAGCGCTTGAACAAGGAAGATCAGGGCTCTCTAGAATCGATCCATACATGAGGAGAAATTCTAGCACTTCGCACTTTACTTGGTCATTAAGATGTAGGAAGAGTACGTAAATTCAGCTTCGATGGCATAATGAACCAGACCGTCTCATCACGGCAGTACTTTTTTATCTTTAGCAAAAATAGGAAAATAAATTATAAATACTCACCGAAACAGCTTCAGAGACGGCCTCACTGACTAGCCGTGCCTGCTGCGTTACCTCGTCTTCCGTCTCTGCTGCATTGCTTCCAGTCATTCCCTCCATTTTTAGCATTCTCTGTTCCATTTCTCGTGTTTTTCTCTCCTCCACCTCACGTGCTTCTCGTTGCAGTTGACTCAGCCACTCTGACAAGACATCAGCTTCTTCCTCAAAATGCCGCCAGTGAAGAAGGGCATTTTGCAGTTGTGCGTAATGCGTGTGCACCCATTCCACAAGTCGGCTCCACTGAGTAGCCAGAGTGGCTATACGTCCCTCGACATTGGCATCTCGTGCGTCTGGAGTTTCGGAGGGCACCAAAATAACAATATCTTGCATGTGTTGGGCTAACTTTTCACCAGATTCAAGGTAATTTTCTAGTCTACGGTTGGCGACCAGTTGAGACTTCAGCTCTTGTACAGTTGTTCCGAAGCGTTCTGTTGCTTGTCGGTCCCTGTAGGTAGTTACAAGAAATTTTTTATTTTATAGCCTCTTTTGATGTTATTTTTTATTTTCAAAAGGGAGCAAAGGAGTGCCATCTGAGCACTAGATGACACGCCTGGAAAGTACTTAACAGTTCTCTTTAGAATGTAATCAAATATAAAACATCTACTAATTAGGTATAAGTAGACGCTGATTTTAATGGGACTCGTTTTCAAAAGCACTCACCTTTCCCATTCAAGCATTTTCAGTTGTATTTCAACAGCACTCAACACAGCCTCCTGTCGATTGAGCAGACAGCCGGCGAGAAAGCGATTTCCAGCTTCAGCGGCTCTATTTAAATTCGTCCACCGATTTTGAAGAAGGCTGAGCATTTTCTTAACCTCACCAGGTTGTACAAACTGAAGGTGGTCAATTAGCTGACGCTCAGTATCAGAATCATCGCCAGTGGTGGAGGATGGAGTCGTGTTGGAGATTCTTTGAACATGTTCGGCTAGATTAGCAAGTCGTTGTCCGTAGCGTAAGCAACGACGGAACATTGGTTCGTGCTTTGTTAAATGGGCAGTCAAATCCTGGGCAGTAAAAAAATTGGGACGGCTTTATTTCCTGTCGAGCTGGATTAAGGTGATATAGTCAACTTAGGTGGGTTGATGCTTGGATAAATTCCAATCTGTTTAGAGATTTTGGCCTTTAAAATGAATTAAATGGGCAATTTTCACAGAGTTTAAGAGAGAAAATCGTTGGGTGGTAAATTAGCCCGATTGACAGTGATTGATCCTTCAGCTTGAATGCAAAATCTGTCACTTATGTGGCGGTAAGTCAGCAGTCAAATGAGGCCACAGGGCTTGGTGAGGGTCGGGAAATCGGAGAGGAAGAAGAGGAGGGGAAGGGGAGGAGAAAAGATCCATCTCGCTACTGCAAAATTACCTTTTGCAGTTCCTTTTGACACTGTTTTGTGGGACTGACAGGCTAGAGGAGACTTTAAAAAAAACACTACCCGTTTTCCAACAAAAAGCATGAGGTGGCTATTCTACCGGGTTGTTAGGTTTAATGTGGTGCAAACCCCTTTCAGAGAAGGACATAAAACATTTCTGTTTTCCATAATAAACATTCCCTCTTTGCCAATCTTCAGGAAGGTGCTCGTGTGAAAAGATAACATTCCCTCTATCGTGTAAAAGTCCTGTTACAACAAGTGGATGATTAATTTGGCCGAAAAAAGGGAGATGACTTTCAACTCGATGACGGAGGCTCTCGTCAGGCGTTTTAATTCTTCCCCACTTCAGCCTACAGTGCGGTGGGTCTTTTGTGTTCGGAATTGTAGTCATCATCCAGGGAGGGGGGACTAGGGTGGGAGGGCTATCTCCAGGACAATAGGGAGGATGAGAAGGTGAGGAGACGCCATTACCCTAACGTCCTAAAACACACGTTTTCTGACAGCTAGGCATTATGTTATGAAGTCTTGCCCTGGAATAGGAATTTAGCCTCTTCTTCCCACCCTTCCCCCTTTTTCCTCCCCGAGTTGACTAATTCTGGCTATTTCCAAAGCATTTTTCTCGCGTACCGAGTTTTATTGTGTCGTGCAGATAAATCGCAGTCATAAGTGTTTGACCTTCAGGAAATGGACAATTCCTAGTAAATATTTGCTTTGGCAATCGACTACACGGATGCGCATAAAGCAAGGTCTTCGAATGGGGGCGAACATCCCAGGAGTTGGCCATAATAAGGCATGGGGATAGTTTGGGAATGGGTGACCGAGGCCACGAGTCTTTTCTCATCACAAGTCAACTAACAAACAAAATCTAGCGGTACCTTTTTATACAAAGGACAAAAAGGAGAGAGAGAGGGGAAAAAAAGACAGCCTTTGAGGTCTACTGTCACCTGTCAATAAAAGTGACTCTGATTTGTTAAGTTTTCACAACCTCCTCCATTTCAGTGCAGATCAGTGATTGTTAATCCCTTTTGACTATGTAGAAAGGGTCTGTCGCATCTCACTTGGATAACCTTGACCCACATTCAACCAGGTGGACGAGGGTTCTACGCCAGGGGTGAAGTGTACCACACCGAGAAACTGATGCATATTTATGCTTTAAAAGGCATGCATATAAACAATCGCATGCACCTTGCAAGTTCTTGAACCTTGCAAGAAATATTTGCCCCCAAGCGCACTGAAGCAATTCGTGCAAATTTTTGGGGGCAATTACGTCCGCATGGATAACTCTAGGGCAAATCAATCCAATAGAATGATGGAATCCATTGAACTTAAATAATTCCACACCAAAATGACACCGACGGTGGTGATGGTTGAAGCTGAACCGATGCTTAGACGAAGGACATTCACAACCATGTCAAATGGTGGAAAAACTACCACGCATCCACCACTTCTGCAGGTCGGCCAATAGGAGAGCAGGAGGAATGATCGGAGGAACCGTCGCGCCTTAATTCTCCCAAAAAATTGTAATAAGCGAGATTTGTAAAAATGGGAAAAGGCAGAAAGAGCGTCTCAATTTCTGCTGCCTATTGCGCATTTAACCGAGTAGATTGGGATCCTGGACAAATTTTCCCACGTTTAGTTAATAGCACCACTGCCTGTCGCCCCCACCCGCACCCGCCCCTCCAGATGGTCTTCTTCCCAGTGGAGTTCGTCGAATGGAGAAATTCAACTCTCTCTCAAGACATTTGACAGATCCAATTGCACTGAAGCCAATCTGGACACCAGAAGGAACCCAGGGAGTGGGAGACGCAAGACTAGAGGGAGACCACCTTGGAGTTTGAAGGCACACATGAGTCCTCTGGGCTAGTGTTAATAAGCTCTGGCCAGCGCCAGTCTTCCAGCCCTACCTCACGTACCCCTTTTAATGACCTTATTATTTACCAGAAGGTTAATTTACGTAGGACCCACCTCATGAGTGTTGAATCGTTTCCTTGCCTCCAACAATCGGCTGACAATTGTCTCATTCAACGACTTGACATCATCAATTGGTGACTTTTCCAGGGCAATCAAATCAGCTTTCTCAGCTACTGCCATGGGATCTTGAAGCATTGCCTTCTCAGTCACCTTGCCATCATCATTAAATGCCTTCAGGTCTGCACAGTTGTCACTCAATCGCTCCTCCATGGACAGCATCCACGCAAGACTGCGTTCAGCTTTATGTTGAAACTCCGACATATTCAACTGTGCATCCTCCAAGTGACTAACTTCGTCGAGTTCACTAGCCTCCTCCGAGCAGAAGGTCAATTCTGAGGCTGTTGGAGATGAACTCCTCGAAGATGTGGTCACGACGGTGACGGTGACACCTGCATCGGGTTCGCCCGGAGTGCCAAATTGTGCCTGATTCTCCTAAAATGTCAAAACATGTACACCAATTACGCCTCTTTGCCGCTACTTCGAGAGGAGGAAGAAAAAAAGGAGCTTTGAGGATGAATCACTTTGCCATATCTATCAAACGCTGATCAGATTTTTGCCCCTACCAATTATCTGTGCGGATTAATCGCCTTCAGCTAACTTTACCTCCTTGCTTTTTCTGACGATGGGTTATGCAAATCTAAAATATTTTCCTTCTCTCCCCCTCCCCCCCCCAAACCTCCTTCTAGCCCCTTTTATTTGGTAGGTTGATGCTTTGTTCAGGTGAACGTTTAACTGCGGAGGCATTTCATCCTCTACTCGACGTTATGACTCCTGTCATGCCTCCAGGCTTCTCCAGGCCTTATGCTGGCGTAACTTGTGACGACTACAGAGAGCGCTCCAGGGGCTATAACGTGGCAGTGTGTCAAGGGGTTTGCTGTGGAAGTCTTGGTTGGTGAAAAAAGGGGGCAAAGGGAAGGAAGGGGATGAACAAGAGGTAGGGCATGTAAAGCAGACCTATGTCAGCAAGTCGCATGGCAACCTTGATTGACTTCTTTGGCACGAACCAGGAGTACTTCATGAGATCCTCAAAGAGCAAAAGTGATGGGTAGAAAGCCACCTGATGTGCAGTACTGTTAAGATCTTTTCAGTGGTGGAACTATTGACATGCCACATCACTTCTTTCTTGCCTCCACACACTGAATGTGATCAAGAAGGGATCAGAAAGGCGTCAAGTGGCAGTATACCCTCCTCACACTCATTTACATATATCCGAATGGAGCCCCATTCAGCGTCACAAATAAGTGACGCTCTGATTTCCTCACCCAACTCCATGTCACAAAGCTATGGGTTAGGACCAAAACAACGGAGTGTTCATGGCCTGAGAACCAGTTGAATATGTCACTTCGATGGCATAAACATTAATGTTAAATCGGATCATGGGGTGCAATAAAGTCTCCACCTACCATGGCGGTGGTGCGTATTTCAAATGCCGGTTTATTCCTTCGCCGTCGGTCAATTTCAACGGCCAAACGCAGTTCAATCAGGTAGATGGCAACTGACCGTGCATCTACAGCATCGTTGGAGAGTAGATCTTCCGGTTCGAGAAGTCGTGCCACCGCGAACTCCTTTGTGATGAGATGAAATGCCAGGCCTAAATTCTGCATTGGTGTTTTCTCCAGTCGAAACCGGTAGCTGAACAATTCCGGTCTAAAAAAAAAGGGGAGGGGGTTTTCCGTGCTTGTTGGACGTTTGAAAAGTGATGCAAACCAGGTTGGCCCATCATTAAATCCTCACAAAGCGTAGGTTAATGCTTTGCGGAGTTCTAAAAATAATACTCGGTCGGGACAGCAAAGGTGTTGAATGGCAAGATGACTAGATAAATCGGAATATAATCTAAAGCACTAAAAACCCTCCCGGAGCTAGAAATTAGCCGGACTTAGCGCCGTCTAGTCGGTTGCCCACTAGGCCTTCGCTTCATCTGACAGCTTAAAACACGGTGCATGAGAACATTTGTTGAAACTTTTTCAACCCCCCCCCCCAAAAAAAAAAATTCTCCTTCATCGAGGTCGCCAGACGTTTTTCCTAGTTTCTGGATCCGTAACAATCTAAAACACTTCGTAGTTTGCGCTTTTGTCAAGCCTCGTCCTTATTGGTCAATATCATGAGAAGACTAATATCCCTATCACACGAGTATGATCAATCAAAATGCCAGAAATATGCGAGATTTCTTCACTTCAGCACTCCAGACAGCACGTACCATGCTCTGGGTGTAACTCCAGTGCCCCACCCCCTTCCACCCGTATGGCACTTCACTAAAAAGCGGCGGCGCCGCCGGTGATTGGTCAATTTGACGGAGGTAGGCTGAGCCGTTTCGCCGCATTTAAAACGTACAAAACCCCGGTTAAAAAGGAAGCTAACTTGAAAATGCATCTATAAGTAGGCATTGGAGCACACCTATCAACACCGAAGAAGCGTAGACAAGACGTTGTTTACAAGGAAAAATTGGGGGCCATTTATTTATGCTAAGGCTGGCTTTACGCTCAGATGGCGGAGCAAAACATTGCTACTTTTGAAGACTTTTTTTTTTAAAGAAAACTAGTGAATCTCGAATGCATACCTTTGCTGATTAATTATAGCCAGGAATGCGAGTCCATCACGCCAAGATGTTGTGTAATTGCAGATATTTACGCCTTCATATCTAGGGCGGAGGAAAAGGAATAGTTGAATTAAACATGGAAAAGGAGGTAGGCAAGAAATGGAAGCCTGACAGTCACAGTCGGCAAGGTTGCCACATCACTCTCACAAGCAAACGCGCACCCACGGGAAACAACCAAAGCCCTGAAACTGGGTGATGTTGACGAGGTGTCACTAAGGCGTGGAGGTGGCTTCAAAACCTTTACGCAAGTCACGTGGACTGATGGTGGACTAATAAAGTCATTTTTTAAGTTCTCAATGTATAGATTGATCTTCCTCTAACACCCAACTACGAACAAAGCCGGGGGGGGGGGGGAAGACGCAGAGAACTGATTTTCACGATGATATTTAAAGTGGTCACAGAGTGGTCAAACGTGAGTCCAATTGGAAGGGGAGGGAAGCACAAAATTTATTTAACTTTTCCATCCTTTTTTCTGGCTATTCTTGTCAGTTTTTTAATTCGATGTTATTGGTCCTAATAAAACTTACGACTGGGTGGCATCTTGACACCAAGCCAATAGGCGCTCATCCTGGCGGGTGAGCCATCGATCCAGAAGGGGTGTCCGGGTTGAACAGAACTCAGCCTCGGGAAGAACACTGCTCATGCTATTCCGTTTACTTCGTTGACCAATCAGCGTGGAGGTGGAGGAGCCCACTGAGCCCCTCACTGTTCCACTGGCTTCTTGGACGTCTTCAATGGGACCAGTTCCAGCTCCAGCTGCAACGGCTAGGATCCAGAGCGTATCCAAGCCCAGGGTTAGACGCATGGATGACGACGAGGCGGAGAGGTCACTGTCTGTGCGTTGGTAAGTGTCACAAGCTAGCTGGATAGCTGTTGCAACATCATGCTGTGTAGACGAGGAAAAATGGCAAGAAAGAAAGTGTATTTCGGGCTATTTTGTTACCAAGGGGTAGTCGGTAAAAGGCCTTTTAAGATTGGAGGGTGTAATTGAAAAAAGGACTCCTCTAGCGATATGTCAAAGTCAAGAAAGAAATTTGCCACCACTTTCTGCTGCATGGAAGTCGCTAGCTGTTGCCAGACTGGCAGAATTTATTCCAGGGCCTTATTTTCACCCAATTTAGCTGAGAATTCGCGAGGGATTGGACCACATCAAAAGTCCAGATGGCTGACGGACCAACTGGACTGTAGAATGGAAAAAGACAACTGCTAGTGAACGGTGGAAACAAGACGCGGGTTCCTGATATAGGACAGGCTGACTTTGTGAAGTTAGGCTGTGGAGTTCCTTCCCTTCAAGCCACTTCCTCCTAAACATTCACCCACCTTACTTCTCCCCTACCCTGCCGCCTCACCGATCCCGACCCCCGAGTTTTTTCTAACTTGTGTGCCTATTTGCAGCACACTCATCACTTTCCTCCATCCTCCGTCTAGACCGAAGATTAGTGTCACTGGGATGGTCAAAAGTCCATGAAAAAAGGCAGCAGCTTCAATGTCGTGTTTGTGAACACTGGGTGTAGGGACCGAAAAGGCAAAGGAAGAAAAGCAACGCCAGAGCCATCCACCTTCCAAAATAGCTTGACATTTCAGCCAGTGCACATCGGAGCCATTAAAGTGGGAAACATTGTTGTTTATAAATGCACAAACGTGTTTGGCATTCCTTTTGTAATGACCCAACCACGGTGTTCCAGCATTTCCTTTCCCGTTTGTCCAGTCCCCTTCGCCCCCACTCCCCCTCCAACGAATTTCACCTTCAAATTGACATGTGTGTGTCAAATTTGGGGGGAGGTCTACGATTCTCTCTCTATCCACCTATTTATCTATCCGGGATCAAGTTTTCTTTTTTTTTTGCTTTACCTTTCGCGGCCCTAGAAACTCGTTTTCGGCCACATTAAAGGCAGAGAGCAAAGCGTGCAACGCACAAATGTGACCTACTAACTGACCTTGTGGTGTGTCTACAGGAATGAGTCATTTGGGTTAACTGTAGATAACCAAAAGTTCATCACTTCCCTCCGTGGAGAGCGGATACCGTTGCCGAGACTCGGGCAACCTGTCAATTGAACTAGACAGGACTGACTAACTATATTGGAAGGGGTGGCAAATTTTGCTGATTCTGGGCCGATTCGGGGAGAAGGAAGGCAAGGAGGGGTAGGAGAAAGAGATCCAAATATCCCACGTTTCTTAGTATTCTAAAGTGATTTTCACAAGCCTGTCAAAAGTTGACAATGGGGTTCTTACAAATCTTCCATTTTTGGATACTCTTTTCACCCAAAAATATACGAAATTTAGGGTCCCTAAAACACGACTGAATTGCCTTAATGGGTTTTATTTGATAAAAGTTAACAGTTGGTGCCTGTGGATTTCAGATTTTTCGTAGCTACGAATGGTGGGGCGGGGACCGAAGGGAGGCCTGCGGTCCGGGGTGGGGGCGAATTTTAAGGCAAAAAACGCATACGCGGTGGCAATTAAATGCACCGGTACCTACTGCCACTATCGAAAATACCACCAAGGGCTTTTAAATAATCTGACTTCAAGAGGGATGGCCTTTTGTATGGTGCCAAATGTGTGTCCCACCAAAAAACGAAGTGGAAGTGGACCCACTGGAGGGTGATTGACTGAAGGAATAAACGGGGGAGACTGGGCTTACCGGAGAGGGGTATGCTCTTCCTGACTTACCCCATAGAGACGTTCAATGAGGGAGGTAGCATTCTCCTGCGTGGAAATTCCATCCGATGGTCTAAAATTACTCTTTCAAGGCGAAAAAAAGAGGTGACTTGGTTGTTAAATAACAACACGAAAGTCTACTAAGCACGTAATTTTTAGGCGTAGGCACTTATTGTTAAACTCCGCAGATTGTGGTAAAGAACTAATTCGATCTTCTCTGGTAAGAGCATAAAACGATTCGTAAGGTTAACTCGGAGATCGCCAGCTTTTACGCAGATCTGAGCAACAAGTGAAAGCCTACCTAGATCGACACCTTTTTAGGGCCTTTTGGCTCTCGGGTCAACAAAAAACAAGCGAGAAGGAAAAGAAAGGTGGACTCACTGTCGACGCCTTTCGATTGGCTAATTCTTGCGCCAAACTGAGGAGGGCCTCGGGATCACGGAAAATGTCCACTGCTTCTGTAATCTCGTGACCGATTACATCCTACAATATGGTACGGACGCGTTAGAGGGTAATGGTGGTACCCCTTCCCAGCTCTTTTAGCTGAATTGGGATACTTCTGGGATTGCCACACAGTGTCGCTAAGGTAAATCGACCATCACGACACACACACAAGGGAAAAAGTAACCCATGCAAATTAGGAGCATCCAAAACCAACCCAATAAGCCAAAAAAGGTGGAGAAGAAAAACTTGTCCACAAACCTGTTTCAACTGACTGTTCACCCATCGTTTAAACACTCGACATTGTGTGGCCAAGATTTTACCATCTAAAAGGGCCAAAAATGGTGGATTACTTTGAGTGCCTTGTTAATCCAATCGGAAGCGGTAATAGCCAATCATGAGTCATTTGAAGACCCTACTACTTGGACTTTGTAGCCATCCACAAATGTTATACAATCAAAAGTTGGTTAAGATGGAGGTCCAGGTTGATGTTAAAACCGTAGCCAAGTTATCTCGACTACCTGCAACAGCATTCGAGCCACCATGAAATGCCTTCGAAGTGCTTTTGGTTGGACAGGGTAGGAAAAAAAGAGCCCTCATTTATTTTTTAGCATGAGTGAGAGATTTGACTTTCTTACTTACTCATCCAGTTGGTAAAGCCCTTGCCAACAGTTTTCAGTGAGATCACACAAAGGAGTTAGTTGGGAAGCGGCAAGTATTTTTCGGCATTCTTAAGCGTGTGTGTGTGTGTCTATTTTATGTCTACATGTGTGCATGTAATTGGAATGTCACAAGTAAATCGGGTAAATGGAAAGCAAGAGAGTCGCATTCAAGGTGACCAGCCGACAAGACACATTTCAACTGCCCTCAGATGATGATTTATGTTGGGAGTAAAAAAGTCTTTAAGTATGCCCCCAATTGTATGTTGTGGATACAAGCAACGGATGAATGAACCCGGCACGCATAAATTTTACCGAATAGCAGTATTTTTTTAACAAAAGTCAAGAAAACAACGCGACACGACCTTATTGAAGCGGAGGAATTCCCACGACATTCATAAATAGAATCTTTCTTTGCATTTTTTTCAAACCATGTATACACATATTTGTTTATGCCTACTAGATAAGGTAAAAATAGTCAAAAAACTGGATCAAAGTGCCTAATCAAAAAGCAAATTTTAAAACAAACTGTTTTGAAGTTTGCGGCTGTTCATTAAATTCGGCAAATCAGAACTGCGCTTTAGGTTTACTAGGTCAAAGTCACCCACGATCTCATTCAGGCTAATTAGGACACCATTAATTTTGAGCCAACAAATAAAACCAAGTGATTCTTTCCTCATATACTCTTTTTGATCCTTATTTGCCTATTTAAAAAAAAAACAACCGGCCTAGCATGAGTTGTTTGGGGGGTTTTAAAAGTTCCATTTTCACTTAACCCTGGCCTGATAATCTGATTGGGTACCAGAAGCAGCTGAAGTTTAAGGGGTTTTAGAGGCGTTGGAAATAAATCAAGGGCAGGAATTTTGAGGTCTCTAGGCTCGGAAGAGGGTTGTTAAGTCGGTGACGATTGTGAGTTGTCACTGCCACTTTTTACCACGTGAACTTGGCTTGTCACATTACATAGCAGCACATACACACACACACGAGTGCTTGTGTGGTTGCACGCACAGCCAAGCCCATTCGCCTAGCAACTGGGAAGGCACTGTGATCAATACTCGCACCTCATTGGTCAGCAGCACAAATTACATCATAATTAAGTGGGCCGAGGGAGCTGAGCCGAATCCAACCAATCCGCTTGGAGGAAGGGGATAAGGCCATTAATGCCTTCAGCTGGGATGTGTATTCACCACACAAATTAGATGTTCATTGTATCTTTTTGCACAAAAATATGTAACTACTTAATAAATAATAAGTTCTAGCAACAAGCTTGCAGTATGAGAACTAGCACCTGTGCCAAATCGTATCTGATTGCACAGTGAAATTTTATTGGCTACTGCCTGCACCAATAGTTCGATAGTGCACACTGTGACCTCAAGCCGAGCAATCACACAGGTTTACATTGCATCAGAATTGCATGTCATCGTTTCTACAGGTACCATGCGGTCGTTTGCGAACCGCAGAGTGGTGAAGGACCAGGGGATTGCTGATTGCTAACTCAGCGTTCCCTGCCGTGCCATCTTTGGTGGTACAAAACGAAATTTTGATAGGATTTAAAGGAAGGTATTGACATGTCAGATGAAGTATAATGGCCTCTAGCTCCAATGGAATATCTTAAACAATAAAAGATATTACTGTAGGAGGAGGCAGGGAGCTTATGCCTACGGGAAAGTGACACCAGAAAAAGACCCGGAAGTCGTGTCACTAAGGCGGTACTTCTTAATGACCAGTCAAAAAAGTGTACCGATAAAGGTAATCAGATCTGGATGCTTTAGAAAGCTATTTTCCTCGTAGGAAGGAGCTAATAGATGGAAAAAAATCATGTGAATGATTAACAAGTGATGACTAAGCGTTTGGGGATATGAACCAAAAAAGGGGCGTTAATCGGGGGACATAAAAGCACAGAGACTGAGGCTCCTAGTTAACCTTACCAGCATACAAGAGTGTTGGCAGCCAAATAAACGGACTATTTGAAGAGCCCTCTGTTTATATGGGCCTGGGTGAAAATTTGTGCTGTAAACAAAGGGTGGCAACATCTTCCCTCACCCCTGCCCCCACCTACGGTCTCCCCTTGGGAGTAAAATAAGCGGTGGTAAACAACATTTTTTGGATTAATTGTCATATAGACACGCTATTTGTAACGAAAAAATGACATATTTAGGGGTCGTATTTCTGCGGGTAATGAGAAGCTACTGTTGTTGGCTAGTTTGTTATTTGTTTAGAGTGGTTAATTTCAGACACACGCAATAATTTTACATGATTGACATTTTCCCTCATGTGATTAATTAACAGTCGATATTACATAGTGAGTTTGGGAAAGGAGTGGAAAATGCTGGGAGTGATTCTGGCCTTAAGGTTAGAACATGGTTCGTGCTACAACATCAAATCGTGTTAATTTGTAGCAGCTGCTAAATTTATGTGGCATTCTTGGATCAACCATCACACTTAGATCGAAAAGCATGAGAAAGGTCTTTTTTCATTTTGTTCATGTAAATTTATCCTAAAGCTGAGTGTTAGACACTCGAGCAGGAGGATGGGAGAATAAAAACCGCTGTTGATGTGGACTGACATCGGACTAAATTTAGTTTAAAATTATCAAGGCATTGCAAGCAAATGAATTTTTTTCACTTTCAAAACAAACTATATTTTTTTTGCCGGGAAATGAAACAATGAGAGAAATATCTCATCCATGAGAATAGTAAATGAAGGCTTAAAAAAAGCCACTGGCGATAATAATTTATTGTTCTAATTAGCCAGAACATATATTTCACAAGTTGTTTATTAAAAGTTTAGCCAACATGATTCCAAAAACGCTACAAAGGGGTAAAGAGTTCAAATATCATGGTCTTTAACACTAGTGTCCGTTCGACATGCAGAGATATGCATTTATTTTCACCGATTAGCAAACGCATGGTGGTGAAAAACATATGACACAAAACTAGTATACTCTAATGCGCCGGTCTCGTAGCATCGCAATATTTGTTGAGGTTTCAGGGTGCTGACTAGTTTGTCCACCGACATGACCAAATAAGGTGATAATAAGCTTTAGCAAGAGGAAAAACCAATACAACGTCTTGGCTAAAAAATGCCTAAACACGCTTAAAATTAAAAATAAAAAGTTTATTTACATCACAAAGACATCATGACTTTGTCGAGCGAAATGTAATCATGGTATTTTTGGAACACAAAGAAGGAAAAAATAGGCAACACAAACCCCTGAAATCAAGGTCAGAGGGTAGGGTTCTTCTTTGCCTGGCGTCATCCATAAATTGTCAAAGTCTCCTCTATTTTATTTCCAGCCTCGTTTAACAGTAATCAATTGTTATGTTGCTTCAAACTGGCAACAACGCTTAATTATTTATTAGTGGTTGTTCTAAACAAAATAAAATAACCTTGCTCTGTAGCAAACTTTAGAGTTTTGGACTCTACTAACTGATTTTTTTTACGATTCCTTATTTTAGCGTCATGTATGCGGTTAATTATAGTTAAATAATTTTTTTGACAATAAAATGCTTGGATAATCTTTGTTGGGTATTGCAAGTCCGCATACTTTATCCCTTTGCCAAATTTTAAATAACAATAAATTAGCTATTTGCTTTTGGGAAAAAAGGCATTCTAAGCTCATTTATGCGTACCCTTTTTAGCCAGACGAAATTTTAGCATAAACCTGAACTGCTACATAAAAATTCAGCTTGTCATCTCTTCGAGAGATGTTTAGTGCTAGACAGATTGCTTTTTCGCTGTGATAACAAACAGGAGGAGCGCATCTGTACTGCGCAAAACTCTGAATATTTGTCATAGTGCTCTTTTAAGGCCGTTCGGAAACCTCCGACTTCAGTAAGAACAGCTCATCAGGATTTGACTGGGTATACATCTGTGATGAATGCATGATGTCCAATGACTTGACGGTACGAGGAACTGCAACAGAGAAGTGAACATTATTGCAGACTTTGAAATTACTGATGACAATCTGATGAATATTCTTCTCCTGAGTAAATCTGCTAGGATCACCAGGGAATTGTGCAAGGCACAAATCCCAATATGGCTTTTGTTGCCCAAGAACACTCTTGCATCAACTTGCGAATCAACTGCAGAGGAGATGGCGCCATTGAGGTAGGGTCGGGATAGCTTGACTTATTTATAAAAGGCGAATTTTCATTGAACTAAGTAATTATAGGTGCATTGTTACTGTCCAAGTGAGAGAAAGGATAAACAATATACGCCTTAGGAAGAGGTACAAGCAGCCTTTAGCTAGTTTACATATACTAAACATATGCCGGATCTGAATTACATGTTACAGATTCAAGGGATTCCATCTCGTAATGATCGTTACATTACAGTCTATGCCAACAAGACCTTTAGAAGAGAGGGGAAGACAAAATATACACCGAAGTTTTTAACCTTCTGCTGATCACAAAGAGGCAACAGGTACATAAGTATAATGACGGATTGTTTCAAAAAAGTTTTAGAGGTAGAAATTGGGCCAATTTTGGGCTTTAACAGTGAATAAAAGGCATACCACAACAGGCTTAGCTAATCTAATGCCTATCAGGAGTTGGACCTAGCATAGCTCTACGGATTCCTTCCATCCCCTGCTTGAATCGCAATTTCCACGTTGTACGGAGCAAAGACGTAAATTTGAGTGCTGATGACCTCTTCACCAAAAAATTACTGCAAATTGCAATCTATCATGACGAAACACAACCTAACAGAGGCTTCAGGGATGGTGTCCAAGATGGCAAGACGACCATGTTCGACTGAACCATTTAGGCAATGCGTCGTCATCACACCACATTATGTGTTCCCTAATTATTTATAAGACGTAGTCAACTTGCAAAGATTTCTTCGACGGTGATGCAAGAGTGCCTGGATAAATTCGTTAACTTTGGTGTAGAAGCAACCATTGTTGCGTAGCAAAGGCTCATTTACTTCACACATTTTCTTGTGATTTCGTGGGGAAATAATTGTGCACTTTATTTTCCCTTTTCATCTTTTGCATATCCTACTAATTTTATTTAAGTAACAAAAGGCCACAGTACGACTTTCGGTAAACACTGCATTTATCACAGATTTCAAACTCTCTGATCCACAAGACAGACTTGCAGAAGGCTTTGGATTGGAAAGGTGAAGGTCGTTTGGGCAAGAGGCGGTTTTTACCTTATTTGGTAGAAGGCGATGCAGACGACTCGTGATTCAGACGGGAGCGGTAAAACAAACCTGCCACATGTCTGTCAAACCTGTCTTCTAAATGGTATCCACGTGCTGAACCTGACTCACTGAAAGCGTATTGTATTTCCACTTCAGCCGCCTTGAATATTCATTTGACTGGGGAATTTGGCGTGGTGCTATCCCATTTCTGTGTGGGTTATTAACCAACATGGAATTTTTGTTGACTAGGGAAAAAAACGGCAAACAAGGCCATGGCCTTCCCTTGCATTGTCTGTTTGAGTGAAACAAATCAACAGTTCGGTTTTCTCCTCACTCCCTCCCCTTCGTCTCACGCAAGTGCCCACCTCTTCCCCCTGCGTGCATTCATGCCTCATTGAGTCGCCCAACTTCAGTGGATTTCACCTCGATTGCCACAGATTAGGCCAAACACCAAAAATAACCTTCAAAGGGAGTCATGGAGCACAGTAAATAAAATTTTTTACGTGGTATGGGTGATACATAAACTTGGAACCATATTTTTTCGATGGTTTTTTACCTTAAAACTAAAAAACTAGTGAGTGTGTAGCGCTTCAAAGCCTTTTCCCAGTCCTAGGTAAATTATGTAACCTTTTGAAGAATAGTATGTTGGTAGCGTTGAATAGATCGGTCTGGAGAAGGTAAATGAAGTGGTGGGGGAAGAGTATAGGTACACCGGTCATCAGAGCCGAATTATTTGATTGGCGGAACAAATGGGACCGCAGCGCTCACTTTACCTAATTGGCCGACTCACCGACTGCTCAAAATCTGAAAGGGGTTAGCATTCGGCCATATTTTATGACTATTTTTTGGTTCAGGTATATCCGATCCTTCCTACAAATGAATTACCATTGTCAAATATCACAAGATGATCAAGAACACATGCCTGACTTGGAGGTACAATAGAGGAAAACTAGCGTCACGCATATGTGACACTGGGAATGCAGTACTTAAACGAATCAATCAGAATGCAAATGTTAATATTAGCCAAGTCTAATAGTAAAAATATTAATATATTAAATGCAATTTAAACTACTTCACATCTCACACTTTCTACTAGCAATTTGCCTTCCCAGTAACCCAACTCGTTCTTTCCCCCACTCTCTCTCTCTCCTCCCTACAGTGAGTACACATTTATCCACACAGCCCCGCCTCACTGTAATTACGCCAGTCTTATCCCCATCCCTGTCCAACTCGACAATCGCAAAATCACAGAGCTCATCCTCCTCACCTCTTTGCCCCACCCCTACTTCCCCCTCGCCCATGTGCAGTCGACAGGTACACTTCTCTCCGCCCCTCCCACATTTTCTCCATAATTAAAGGGCACGCGATGAGTAGCTTGTACTGAGTAGGCAAAGGGTGGGGCAAAAGTTATTTTTTTTCCCTTCGCCCGCACCATATGGCTAGGTGGAAAAGGAAAAGGGAAGGTGGATGGGAGGGGACATGTGAGAGGGGCTCCTCCTCTACCGGCATCACATACAACAGATGGATGGATGGATAAATGGAGGAAGAAAGGAAGGAATGAAGGTAGGCATATATAACTACCACTTCTCTGTTATTTAACTTTTAAACGTGTTGACAGATGTTATCCCTCACGTTGTGATAGTTGGGATATAGGACGAGGCTAAAGGGGTGGGTGGGGGCGGGGAGCAAATGCCCCTTTAAAAAATTGCTTCAATTACCAAACAATAACACAGTGGTACCATCTTAACGCTCAAGTGACTTGTCCTAGACTGACAACTCTAACATTTGTGTCGAAGTGGCTAAAATTTTGCTTGTCTTTAAGACAAGTCCTTGCCATAGGGGTCTCGGTGTCTCCGACTGTCACACCAGCATTCGCACCACCAAATTGTTTAACTTAACTACTGTCCAAAGGATATAAATTTCTAAATTGTTCTTCATAGATCTAGAAAATTTTACAAATGCACAACTTTTATGCAAATCAAGCACGAAAAAGGAAAGGAGAACACGTGTCACACATGTGTGACGATATGCTCATTTCGGAAAATAGGGGAGAACATTTTTTTAAAAACCGAATTTTGCTGAAAAGAGAAGGATTGCAAGCCATAGAGTTTTGAATTTCCTCTTTTTATGGACAATATTAAAAGCAGTTTGCTGTAGCGTAGCAGAGGTTACCTACGCAAAAGTAGGAGGTGCTCTATCGATGTACAGACCAATAGAAGAGCGAGAGTAACCGCTCATAAACCGGTCTTCAAATTTCCTAATTGGTCGGCAGTGTGTGCCCTGCCTTCGGTGGCGGTGGGACCATCCCAAAGCGAGCCAATGAGACCACAGACGCACCGTCTAATTATCCAGTCAACAGGCATTGGCTGGCGTTTGACGGTGAGGAAAGGAGGCAAAAGACGGTGGGGGGGGGGGGAGGGGAAGGTGGAAGCATTGGCCTTCACTTTGACACTGACTTTCATACCCACTCAAAGGGGAGGAGAGAAACTCTCTCTCCTCTTTGTCGTTTGCTCTACATCATCAAACAACACCACAGTTCAAGTCACCACTGTCCTCCACACAAAAGGCGACGTCGCCACCGCCTTCAGAGGTAAAAACGGAAGTAAAAGAGAAGTCATAATCAAAGAGAGTGGAAGTATAGAGGAATTGTCTTCCACGGCCTTTCTCACCATCTCTCCGCACGTCACACAAAGGCACAGGCGAATAAAGGAGACACAAAAGGAGCGAGAGGGAGAGAGAAAGAGAGGGAATCCGTCTTCTCCCCTTTTAACTGCCTCAAAGGATCCCTTCAAAAAAAAAAAACGTCTCCTTCTTTTGAGCTTTGGAGAGACGAAAGAGAGAAGAGATAAGGGAAAGCAGTCAACCTATCCCTTCCTTCTCCCTTGCTCCTTTGTACCGCCTCAGTGAAATGGCAAATAGAGAGGAAAGCAACTATTCGACCTCGAGTTGTCAACAGCAAGACTACCTGAGTCAACTGCACCACCGGAGCTACGCAATCCAACCACAGCAATATCAGAGTGGTGAGTGTACACCTCCGTCTGTTTCGCCTAGTTCTCTTCTAGTTCGAAAGCTCCTGCCTGGAAGTGCATCGGTGAGTTGAAGTGGCTCAATTTACCCGTCAAGGCGTTTAGGTATTTGAATGCACACCTGTCTTGTCAGATTACCTTGAGAGGCTTACGTCAGTAGATTTGTAGGTGGTGTGTCTTGCGCTGGAAGAAGTACTTTTAGTGGATGGGAACCTGCATTACATGGTTAGGTAGACGGGAAAATAGCAAATAATAAATTGGTTGAATGGATCGAAGGTTCTCAATCTATCCATCCATTCATCTCGTGTTCGTCCATCCATCCTTCATCCCACCGTACCGCATTCATCAATCCATCCATCCATCCTGCATCCGTTCTGTATCCATCCATCCATCCTGTATCCATCCATCCATCCTGTATCCATCCGTCCATCCTGTATCCATTCATTTTACTCGGAATGCCTCTATCCAGTGTTCATCCATCCAGCAACTATCTCTTAATGCCACATCCAACTCGTGTCCATTTATTCATTCCACATACATCCATCCTCCGATAATCCTTGGCGATGCATGCATGGTGGTAGCAAGATTTTAGCTCATTAACATTCATTATGCTCATCCATTAATTCGAGAGCGAGATCCCGTCTCAGTTGATGATTTATTACCATAGATTTAGACCAGCCACAAGGGAGACCTGATGTGGAGCTAAAAGAAGTGCTAATTGTGAGATGAAAAGGGTTGTGTTACCGTTTGGATGAAAAGAAATAGATTTCCAAGAATTCACAAATCAACTACGTCATGATTTGGTGTCAACAATTTACTAAGCTCTTGGCCTTAAACCTCTGGCTTTAAAGATCCTCATTTTACTGCCAATTCTCTGTTCTTACAGAAGCCGAATGTTTCATTACCTTCAAGATGAATACATTCAGAAACACCTTCCACTTTAGCATCTTTCAGCTCACAAGCTTACCCGTTTATTTGCATTCTAAAATTTCATTCGTGGATGGTTTGAAGAATTTTGAAAGGCCGCATTGTCTAATCTACAGACCTTAAATTTTGTTAACAAATTGAACTAGCGAAAAATCTACCTTAATGTGATGGTTTGGAGATTGAGACGCAACTTGTTTATTCTCTTTCTTTCCACAGATGCGGCTTTGAAGAATTAAATGCCATCGGATGAGCCACAACCACCTCCACCAATGGCATAATGCGGGACTGTTATCGCTATCACCGCTCCAAATTGCAGTATCATTACCATCACCATCATTATCTTCTTCTCATCTTCCTCCTTCTCTCGATACTTCAGCTGACAGTCACCACCACCTCTATCGGCGGTGCTTCGACAGAGCTTTTACAGTTGCAGGGTCCGCGAAACACCTCAGTAGAGCGTGGAGCCACGGCACGACTTCGGTGCCACCTTCTAGTTGCAGCGATGACAACAACACCCTCCCATTCCTCTCATTCCACCTCCACCTTTCGATTTATGCCATGGAAGGCGTCAGCTAATCAACGAATCAGTGTTCAGTGGAATATTGATGGATTTGGTTTTACCAATGAGAGTCTTGTGGAAAGCTACGGCGAACGGTACTTCATGCCTGGACCACTCAATGAAGGTGAGCATTCAAGTAGATGTCTCTTCAAGGTTGACTAGAGATTCGGGTGTCATTTATTTGAGACAGGAGTAATGTTGTTGCACTTAATTTACAGAGAAGAATTCCTTGATCTGGACAGGTTGATCTTTTATAAGCTGCAGTTGAATAGAGAGGCCATAAAAATGGGCCAAGATACGAGGCAAGCTTATTTCTTACGCCAGCTACTGTCGATTAAGAAGCGATTATTTAAATAAAAAGGATAGATTAAAAAACTGTTATGGGTGATCTCACTTTCGTATTGACTTTGTAGGAAGTCTCTTTCAGCCTGTTAACACTTACTACTTGCGTCGCACATACGTGACACCTTGATCTTGCTAGCCCAACCTGAGGATAGAACTATGCAACGTGTTGTTTTTTTATTGACTGGCTCCCCTTAGTCACTTGTATAACAGGTACAAGATGTTCTTGATCCTAGGTTAGCTGTATGGCTGTTGAATGCGGTGTCCACTGGAATCATTTTCCACCTCAGGAAATTTTTGCAATCAGCAATGGCTGAATAATCAAGGGGAGTTGTGGCTTCTCACACAAAAGGGTTATTTGTTGCACTTTTATCCACCTAATGATTTCTTACGCATAAATTATTCCCCCATCTTTTGTTCCTATCCTATTAGATACTGCTCACCACATTTTAGCCTGATCCAAATGCCGTCTTTGCGGCACTGTCACATGACAAGTGACCATTTTGAAGGTTCCTAAGCCGTTTTATTCGTCAAGTGGGACGTTTTTTCACCCCGTTTTAATCCCATTTTCTCTAATTCACTGAGCTGGGGCTGTAACAAATAATGTCTGATTTTATAGCATTCTTTTATGTCTATTTCTTTTCCTTAAACGTACACATGCCGTCCCATTTGCATCCGGTATTGTCATGGTTGATTACCAATTGCCAATCATCGTTGACCTGTCATTGAGTTACCAAATGAATGCAGTCAACGGTGTTTGTGTATTGTGTACTCCTTGGATGGGATGGAGAGGACCTAAATGCATGCCTTGAGTGGCATAATTGGTTCACCCACGCTTCTGAGGTGGCCATTACTGGTGGTAGGAGGTCTTGGCATCACTCAAGGGTGGGGAGGGGGGGAAAAAACAAAGATGACAAGCCAATTTGGTGTTAGAAATTCAAAGTTAGCGAGGCATTCTTTAGATTTTGGTCACTTTTTAAGAAAGATCCATGCGAGGCTTTAGTCAGGCACCAACATAACAACACGGGAATATTGGCCAGGATGGATGAGCCTTTCCAGGAGAGTCTGACTTACTTCGTCTCTGTTTCGAGTGCGTTCTACCTTCTTCACGTTGTAAATATTTGTGGGCGATTCCGCTTAAGATTGCCACAGATAAGGTCACCTCTTGTGAAACATCATCATGAATTTGGCGTTATTCAGGGAGCCGGAATCAGCAGCTCCAAGTTGTGGCTGAACGTCCTCTGGAATAACTTTCGAAGCTGTGAAACGGGAGCATGAATTAGCTCAAGGCATAAGTGGTCTTTGAAAATATTTAGGAAAGTTGGTCAAACCTTTAGACTATTTAAATAAGTTCCTGCGGTTGGATGTTCCACCGCCGACCTCTGCTTGAAGTCGCCTGTCCACCGTTCCGCTCCCTTATTCGCCGTTTAACGCATCCAGCAGAATCGTAGACACTTTTTGTCTCCGCTCCTCTAAGTAGCCTAAATGCTTTCGAATTTCGCCATTTTGGTGTTTTCCCCTTTGTGTGGCAATTTGTGTACCTCTCCTAAAGGTATTTTTCTTTGGCACACCATTACATTCTGTGTAAATACCCCATTCTTCATTTTTATTCGCAACACATCTGAAACAGTGCGGAATTCAAAACCTGAGAGCTATCATGGCTGCTAAAACTCATTTTACTACTAAATGCAGAGAACTTATTCTTTTTAAGCAGATAAATGAATAACGCCCCACGCTTTTAGGTCCGAATTTCATATTCTTTGTTAGATCTGTGTGACGTCAGTTTATTAAAACAAAAAAAGCCAAAAATTACTTTACATCACAAGACAATTTTTTAAGAATTTTGCGTTTTGAGGGAAATTATACAGATCCCGATAAAGAGGAGGCCTACTTAAATCCGGTATTAAGTAGTGAGTGCCTTCGCTTTTCGGATAATCGGTTCAAATGAGTGTAAAACGGAGGAAAAAAGTCGTTTCTTTCTTGGATTCATCATGCACTAATGGCGACCTGTATGTTGCTCTCTAACTTTTACAAGATTTATGATTCGCCTCTTTGCTAGAAGGCAGAATAAAATTCCCCCTGGCAGCATGTCCAAGTGGCCAAATTCGCGTGACAAATAATGCATTTCCATGATTACATGCATTGCTGCTATTTTCTCACAGATTTTATCAGAAAAAAGTAAATTATTGTTATTACAGAAGAATATTCTTGCATAATGGATAGTAATCATGCCAAGACAATAAAGAGCCTCAAAATACGTTCACAGGATCTCAGTAAACTATTGGATGATCCCCAACAAATTGTAGGAC